AAGATGGCCAGGGTCTCATGCAAAGCTAACGGCTCGAGACGCAGTGTGGATTGGATCCCCTGTGGTTGACGTGTTCTTCTCCTTGAAGTCGGTTTGGAGGCGTTTTTTGGGGAACATCCTCCTGAAGTTGGCACCTGTTGGTGCTTTTTTGTATACACTTTCAACAAGCAGCAGGCGTGGATCCGCAAAAGCCAGGTTGACTGCCTGGGCTTCTCCCCAATAGCAGGAACTCCCAGTGAACTGGCAACACGAATCAGGCCGCGGGTATCACACTCCATAGACGGTCAGAAGGGATGGGTGTTGATGACTCATCCCACAATGGGCACCAAACCTACATGTCGAGTGACCGCATCTTTGGGTTTCTCCCTGCGCTCGCTTGCCCTCAACTTGTTTGCTGGGATCCCCCCACCTTTTTGGGACCCCCTTAGAGTAAGCCTACCCGCCGAAGCTCCGCTTCGCTCGTGCGACAGCACTTTCTTGATCAAGCCACTCTAGGACGGTGCCTGGTAGGGTCGCAGTTTTAGCGCAAACCAATGCTCTCTAAGGCAGCTCGCCCGCTTGACCTACCGATTATGTTGTTGGTCTCATTGGTCACCGTACAGGTTTACCCTGTTTTCAAGAGGCGATAGGTGTCCTGGCTACAGGTCCTTGGGGGATACGTCCTGGGGCACATGTGAGAAAGCGCATATTGTGGCAAAGGTTTCGGAGCGGGAAGCAGCGGGATCGGCAGGCAGGTTTCCATGTCCTTCTTGCAAGTGCATGCATCAGGGCCTTATCAGGCCGGGCATGTTGTCACCAGTTTTGTCTCAAGTTTTCTTGACTTTCCACTTATGGGTGTCCCGAAATTTACGTATCAAGTGACGCTGACACGTTTCAGGTCTCTACAGGCAGATCTTAGCCACGACTTGGGAGGAGGCGCTCGAGGCAGCGGCAACATCACCGAGGGTGGGCGGGGGGAACGATGAAGCCGGGAGGCCTTTTAGCTTGGTTGAGATGCTTCCCTCTTGGGTTGACTTTTTTCTAAGCCTTTTGGTATCCGGGCAGGGCTCTCAGAAAAAGGGGGCACGTTCTTGCATAGGTGTTTTCCCTTGGCAAAATGGGACGTGCAGCGCCCTTGGCAAACAACGTTTGTCAGTGTTCCCTTTCTGAAAGGCTGTGTCGGTCGCAGCGGAAGATTGGACTCTGACCGACAAGTTGTTTTTTTGCTTTGTTTTTGAAATGCAGGAGACTTGCTGCCAACAGGTCACCCGCAAACTGCATGGATTCAAAAGAAGCGAAGCGCCTGGAAAGAGAGCCTGCCTGCCTAAGCCAAAGCTTTGTCAGAATGGCCCTCGAAGCGATCCACCCAACCGCTTCGTTGCATGCGTCATTTTAAGGCATTTGAAACGGGGAGGGTGGGACCCCTTTGAGAGATAGCGATAGCTTCGTTGCAAGGTGGGTTCCAAACTCAAAAGGAGGGAGCAACAGAAAAGCGGGTGCGCAGAGCTAAGGTCGAGTGCAGTTCGGCTAAAGGGTGGCTGCTTTCGGGATTCTAGGGCAGGAGCTGTTGATCATCATGAATAGCGAGCACCGATAATGTAACCATTGATTGTTGTCTAGTTGTTTCGTCTTGTTGCTTTTTCCATTTTTTTGTGTATTGATTTGTTTATGTGTTTTGTTTTTGTGTTCATTTGTTTTGTTAAATATGATTATTCTCCTTGGACACACCTCTTATCAGCGGCTTTAAGTGGCGTCTGGCCCACCCAGATAGGCCGAAGTATCAGACTTCTATGACCGCGACCCTCTCATCCTTGGCATTCAACATCCCAAGCTCAATCGGGAATTCTTTGATGGCGTTCTCTCTTAGGTCGACCAGGTTTCCTTTTTCTTCCAGCTTGTTGGCCTACAAGTGGCTGGCAACACACTTGTTCCTTCGATCCTTGAACCTCGTTTGGTTCCATGAAGCTTGCGAAATGGACACCGCCCTCAAGTGGATACCCTGACGTGGGGCATTTGTCAGTGGGTTTCCAGTTTCAGGTTCCGCAATGCCCCCGCTGTCCTTGCTGGCTTTTTTGGTTTCAGGGCTACCTTCCAGTGTCATCGACCCATGATTTTTATCAGTTTCCTGCCCCAAAAAATGCGAGCAGGAACTGAACAAGTTGGCGGTCCAGGGAGGGAGTTGCGTCCGAACAAAAGTTCCACATGAGCCGCTATCTGCGCACCAAAGCGCCCATATGCTACGATTGAGCACCATCTGGAAAAACAAGGCATCAAGGAAGCTGGATCAAGAAGACATGGTCTCGAGTCCACAAACACCTTACGGGGTCATACGGAAGACGTCACTTTCCAGCCCCGACCCCAACCCCAGCTCCAAACGCCTCTGACCCCTGCGAGGTGTTTCATCGCTCCGGGCAGAAGCTCGATGGCTCCGTCAACGGCGGGGGCCCGGGAGAGATGGGGGGAAATGAACCCCCCCCCTCCGTATGGGAAGGGGAAATGAGAAGGAAACCCTTCATGCACACCAACCTTTATGGGAAGGGTGCCTTTGGGAAAGTTGCTGTGTCTTAGGTGCGCACTCCAAATCCAGCCTGGGAGTCAGGGCTGGGCCCCACTTTGCAAGCCCGTTCGTGTCAACCGCCAATTTTAAACGAAAGTCCCCGTTGCTTCCTTCCACACAGCGGAGGCTGTAGAGTTTGCCGGCGAACCTGTTTGGGGGAGAAATTTCAGGGACCTGAACTGGCCTCTACGTTGGCAGTGACTGCATCGGTCACTTTTCGTTTTTTGGGGAGTTGGTGCCGGAGTCTGAAGGATGCACTTGACTTTGTTCCAGCGACTCACAATATGACAAATCAAACACAAGTTTCAGGGCCGAAGTCAAAGGCTCCCATTGGCACAGAGTGACATATGTCAGAGTTTCACGGGTGCCCAACCGAATGTTTTCTTTCTCCCCATGGCACGGTTCCTTAAGAAAGCCACCTTGAACCAGATGGGATTCCTCGCGCCCGAGTTGCAAGGAGCCTCTAATATTCCCAAACGTGAAGGCCAGCAGTCTTTCTCTTTGCTGGGCGGGCCACGAGGTCTTAATCTCTGCAGGTTCCTGTAATTGCAAGAGTGAAGGAAGGCAGGTTTTGTGGGCAATTCTAGTTTCTCCTGAAGTTCGGCCGTTGGGAAACAAGCTGGAGCGAGCATGGGGTGGAACGAATCACGGACACAGGTGGAACACAAGAAGGAGACCAGTAGTCAACGAGCGGAAAACTGGAAGGCTCCGCCACACAGCCCGGTTCCCTCCAAAGGGCAAGTAAATGGAGCACACTTCGCAGTTAAAGGGTACCAATTTGGTTTGTTTCTCTAGGTATGTGAATGTGCTGGTAAACAGTGGCGGGGCAACCTGCAGCAACCTGTTCAGTAGAACAGCATTTCTTTCAGAGTATTTGGTGGATAGGTGGTCTTGTTGGTTGAAGCACAGGACTTGGGGCTTGAGATTGGCTGAAGTGACCTCGGACACAGACTGATCCCGCTGGTGCTTGCCTGCACTGGCGTGTGTTCGTCTTGTTGCTCCATTGCGGGAAGAGAATTCATTGTTTGGGCATCGCAATAAGTTCTGCGTCACATATGCCGTGGTCATTGTGAGTCATGGGCCACTTAGCCTCTTGCTGAAGGGAGCTGAGGGCTGCCAGGGATTGACACATCACGGGATCCCTTCTGGACCGGGCTCAACTCAGCTGTCCCATGTTTTGGATCGGTTTGGATGCAAGTGCTTCTTTGGTTCCCCACTTTCTCCAAACTTGAAACATTTGATTGTCCGATGAGAGACTCCACCACATTCTCATGTTTCATGGTTCCCCTGAAAAATCGTCCCATGTACTTTCCACTGATTGTTTTCAGCCGAGTTTCGGCCAGGTATGCCCATGAGCCGGAACCTGAAATTCCTGCGGCTGCCCAGCCCTCTGTTCGGGCTGCTTGTGCGCACCTGGGACTGCGGTTTTGAGCGGCCCTTCGAAGCCCGGGCCAAGGAAATTGAGGCGCCTGGGGCCCTTTGTTTCCCTTTCCAGACCGTTAGACATCGCCTTTGGGCCACTTTTGGAAAAGGGACATCCAGGAAGCCCTGTGCATCAGGCCTCGGGCATCGAGGTCTGAACGGATGTTGACCATCAGCTCGTCCACACTCTACTCTTACGGTTTGCGAAACATGCCTTCAGGACAAGTCAAATAAGGGCTTAAGCTCCGATTAAGCACTGAGTCATTGAAATGGCTCATGACCAATAGTCGTCGTTGATGGTTGATGGCTTGTGCTTTCGTCTACGGACCTGCAGTGTCGTTCATCCTGTGGCATGCTGCCATTGTCCAATTGGAGGGACCAGTAGTGAGAGGCTGGAGGATGGGGCAAGGTCGAAGGCACTCGGGGGATCAGAGTCATGTGTACAAGCGTTTCCTGCTGACGCATGACAGCTAACCCGTGTTTTCCTTTTTGAAGTTAGAGCAAAGATGGATCCCAACCCAAAGAGCCGCAGGAAGAGAAAGAAAGAGAGAGAGAGAGAAACAAAGAAAGAAAGAAAGACAGACAGAAAGAAAGAAAGGAAGGAAGGAAGGAATGAAGGAAAACTATCAGCAGAGCTATGGTTTGGCGTCTGGTGACTTCCGCAACAAGCATTCAGCCCTTCAGCATCCCCATGGTCAGCAGACGAAGTGAGCCTCTAGATGAGGCCCCGTTCTGTCGCTCTGACTCGCCCAAGGTCATATCTTGCGAAACCATCGGGCTGAATTTTCAAAAAAATAGGTTTTCCTCAAGCCACAAGGAGGCTTTGGGCTACGGAGATAGGTTTGCAGAAAGCCCAATGAAGCGTCCATCGGAGAAATCTTGGATTGAGATCGTCTCACTCTTCAAAGCACCATCAATAGCCAATTTGGCGGGGGAAACCGCTGGTAAGGTGGTCAGCTTGTTGGGCTATGAAGGTTCAGCCGACTCCCGTCCTGCCCCATTCCGACGCCTTACAATGCAGGTGTAACTCTCCCCAAGAGCGCGAGAGCAATGAAAACGAGCATTGGGATAAATTTCAGAGCGGTTCGTGATCCCAGGGCTGAAGCCGGGGCCACCGCCGGATCCCAATTACCACGCCTCGATGTTCTATGACTTGGAGCAGAAGAGGAGAGCCACGCTCGAAGCGAGCGCTGCTCCGTCTTTGGTTGTTGCAGCAACATTGATTCACGTGTCAAGGCCCAAACACGACACCTATCAAGGCCCAAAAACGAGGTTTGACACAAACGCTCCAGTGAATTCCTGTTAAAGGAGTCACGGCCATCCCAATTGAAGAGTTTTGATAGTGCCCGTGATTGAAGGTACCGGCTGGGCAGATCAAGAATCGATGCATTCTTTGGAGTCCCAAAACTTGTATTTGTCTGTTGAGTACTGCTTTTGTCAACTCAACCTTGGGGCCCATTTCCTTCTGGAATGCTGCGAAAGGTGGGACCGCCTCGCTTGAGCTTCATGAAAATTGGATCAGCCCAAGGGCCTCAAGCCTCGAGAGTTTCGCAGGAGGACTGAGATCGATGAGCTCAACGGAGCGGTGGCAGCTCGGCAGTTTTGATTCTATTCGCGAACGCCATGTTGAGCACATGCCCATCTTGCCACTGCGACGTATGCACACATCTTTTCGGCCAAGTTCGCTCCACGGTTTTCGCTCCACGTGTGCGTGGCGTGCCGTTGCCGGCCAGCGCCGTTTTCGTGGGGCGCTGTGAGCTGTGGCTCAGCGCGGTCGACGCTTTCAAGGTGGCCATGGCCGACTCGGCCGCGAGCCGCTGCCGCGCGCCCGTGAACGCCGCGCTCGCGCGCTTGGTGCGGGCTGCGGAGGAGGCGAAAAAGGGAAGCCCTCGGCTGAGCCCGGAGGCTGGGGGGGGGAGCTCCCGCTAAACGGAAACCAGACGTCTGTTAGCAACAGCGGTTAGGTCCCTTTTGGACCTACCTTGTTGGAGAGATTGGAGGGTTGGCGGGGTTGAAGCGGTTGGAGGGGTTGGAGAGGGTGGACGGAGGGTGGGTGGGAGGGTGGGCAGCTTTGGTCTTGATTGGTTCCGACCTTGTTGGCCTTGTTTTGGGTTCCTCGCGCTTGGCCTTTCTTCTTTCTTTCTTTCTTTCTTTCTTTCTTTCTTTCTTTCTTTTTGCTCTCTCCTCTCTCTCTCTCTTTCTCTCTGTTCCCCTCTTTTTTTCTTTTTATTTTGGGGTTCTCTCTCTTTTTCCGCTCTCTCTCTCTCTCTCTCTCTCTATGCAGCCCATCTTTGGGGCGTCACCGCCGAAACCTCTCCGCCCCGAGCCTTTCCAGGACCTGTTTGCACGTTTCATCACGAAACGCCCGCATCCTCAACGGGGCCGGCCGAGCCGCGAGGCCATCCTGCGGGAGATGCAGAAGGACCCGTCCGTCGCTTTGGCCAGCGGACGAGGCGGGTGCCGGCGGGTGCCGGCGGGTGCCGGCGGGTGCCGGCGGGTTTGGGGGTTTGGGGGTTTGGGGGTTTGGGGGTTTGGTGCTGGGTGAGTGGACCAATGAAAGCACAACCTGCTTCGGGAAACTGGAGAAAGGTTGCCTTCCGAAAGCTTGATGAAACTCCCGGACCCCCACCAATGCAAGGTGTCAGCTGGGCGCAAAATTCCATGCCATGCCGCTGTTGCAGCCGCCTGCCTCTTTTCCCTGCTACGCTGCCACAGCACATGCAATGGTCAGGGGCATTTCCAGGTACAGACTCTGGAGGCAACAGAAGCGTGTAAGACAGTGTACACCCCTCAACCTCCATACCTCCAAAACACACGCCTGAAACAATCCTTGAAATAGATATCTGGATTCCGCAATGCCAGAGACAGGGTCGCCCCAGTTGGACTGTGCAGCCTCCGCCTCGCAGTTGCTGCAATTCCAAAACAGTTTCTCGGCTTGTCTCGGCTCGTTTCGACTTATTGCCACAAAAGAAATCCTGCTGCCTTGCTGAGTCCTTCCACCTGCAAAAAAGGCAGCCTGCTACCCGCCCCTGAGCCTGACCTGGAACCCACAAAGCACCCTCTTGCAAGAGAACACTCATCTTCCAAAGTGGTCCTGAGATCATCCCCTACCAGGAAGGCTCATGTGTCTCTTTGGGTTCAGCTCAGGGCACAGCCGCACCACCTGCGGCTGGGGCGCCACAGCTGTTGGGGTCAGAAGGCCGAAAGGAGAACCCACTGGCTTCAATTTTCTCATCGTTTACCTGTTCCATCTATTTTCCAAGAACAGCTCAAAGACTGCCTACTTTAGACTTCACCCGCCTTATTGCACCCCTTGTTTCTTTTTTTTCTCCCCCAACTAGATTTGACATGAAGCTAGATGTTCGCAACTTTCGTTGTATCGCAACAAGTTGACCTTGTACCCCTTGGTCCCAGCGAAAGCTCCACTACTTTCGGGGGCTTTGCTTCGACTGAGTGACTCGTTCGCGTCAGGCGCGGGCGCCTGGCTCCTGGCCGGCTGCGTGGTGCTGGCCGCCTGGGCGGTGAGTAAGCTGTGAAGAAAGCTGCGGGGATTCGCTGTCGGGCATGGTAAAACTAGGTCCCCCAACTCGATACCCTTTCTTTTGCCCTTTTTTGGTTGGGAGGGTTCCCCTACTAAGATGGACTGCAGAAAAAAGGGGTACCCTTATTCCAACCTCTCTACTGGAGGCTTTTTTTGCCTCGAGACACAGGTTGTTTGCGAAACAACCTGGGAAGAACCAGGGGTGTGGGTTTCTTTTATCCTAGGGCTTGCACATCCAATATGAAGGGCTAAAGCGTTGCAAAAGGGATTGTCCCTTGAGGTTTGGTGTAGTGCCCCATGCCATTCTAATTACTCAGGCCTTTGTAGTACCAGACCGAAACTTGGATTCCTTCCTATCAAGAAACATAGGGTTTAAGTCAAACCATCCAAAACCCGGACCCCGGAACCTGTTCAAAGCGAACATGCTGGCCTAAGCCTGATGCCACACATTTCCTTCATGTCAATTTCAGGAATGCCAAGCCCGCTAAAAGGGAATCCTAAAATGTCAATGGGTCAAAGTTGAGTGCTTGGTTCCCATTTACCAGGGCAACCCGCTTTGGGCACTTATTCTTGACCCGCAGCCAACTGGATACTTTCGCACATGTGTTGCAAGTTTCAATTCATCGATTGAACATCCCGAAGTTGATCGAAGCCTCACGGTTCGATGCCTATTTCCCAAGCAGCCCAGGACCTCGAGGCACCAGCCATCGATGCCTTCTTAGCCTTGCTACAAAATGGAACTCAACAGAGCCTCTTCGAAAAAAAATCCTCAAAAGATTGGCTTTTGGGAGATGTGTGGAGGGCACGAGAGCCATTGCTTTGGTGACACGCTGGGCCTATGTTTGGGGACAGGGTGCCCCCCAATTGCTCGCAAGAATGTTTGCCACCCAAATTGCCAATGTCCTCTTGGGGAGCCGTGATTTTGGCTTCCCTTTGCTCACACAAAGGGAAGTTGACTCAGTCATATGCCTGAACATAGCGGGCCACCAGCGCGATGGGCTGTCTCCCTTTCTGCCACACCAAAGGGCACGGGCCGGGCACGTTGCTAGCTGCCAACGTGTTTGGCTCTGGCAGGCAACGCTAACCAAGGAGCAATTGTGGACATGAGCAGGACCAATCATTTTGGTCGTGATGAATTGGGCAAAGAGCAGTTGGCGCAAGCCTGGGCCACTTTAGATGAGCGACAGCGAGCATCGAGAAAGTCTCCCAGCAGCATTAGCTCTTGAAAGACCGTAGGAGTTGTGCTGAAGCACAAATGTCTGGAAGTGACAGGGGCTGTCAAGGAGGGCATTGACTTTGAGAGACTCATTCGAGCCAGCATCTATCTTCCTTTTGTTTGCGCGCACGTCCAACCGATATTCGAGCCACAAGAATCAGCATGGCCGAAATTTCAACATGCACAATCCCAGATGGATGATCCGCGGTGTCCCTTGTGCCCCACGATTTTCACCATAAGCTCAGAGCTTGGGTAAAAACAAAAAAACAAAACACCAACAACCCTGGCAAACTCCGGGGGGGAAAAAAGCGCACACCTAAAATCCCTGGTAAATTCCGGAATAAAGCAGCCAAAAACCCTGGTTTGATCTCGCGCCGATCCGACGCGACAACGTGGCCTGCCGGCCTCCTGGCCCCTATGCCGCCGGCGCCGGCGGTGCCACTGGTGCCGCCGGCACCGGAGCCCCTTGCGCGGCTGCTGGGTCTGGCGGAGCAGGTGGATGCGGACACCGAGGCGGGCAGATGGGTCTTAAGCCCCGGAGCCGTTTTCACCTTGTAGTTGCCCTTTACCCCACTCGAAACAGTTTTCCACTCCGATTTTTTCTCTTTTTTTCCCTCCTATTTTTTTCCGACCTTTTGAGCATGCAAGTATTCAAGAGCTGCAAAATTGGGCGGGTCCCGCCAGGTGCCCTTGGGTGAGCTGGACTGCGCCCACTGCGAGAGTCTGCTGCACCAGCCTGCTACACTGGAAGATGGCTCCTGGGCTGAGAGGGTTCACAAGTGGAGCTGTGACTGGAGAAATTCTCAAAGTGCGGACCCAGAGCCGAGCAAATGAGCAGGCATTGGCCAAACATGAGCCGCAATTCTCTCCTGTCGTCCACAAGGGCTCTCGTTCAGATCTTCCCACGCCATTTTGTTTTCGTTTTCGCTCTTCGGGGCTACTTCTCCTGTTGCCAGTGGGCGTCCTTGCACCTCTCTTGTCTCGGATTTGCCGCTCCCCCGGAGGGAGCTCGCCTGTGTTGTTGCCTTTGCTGTGGGCTCCAACCTTATAGGCACGACCGCGTCTTCGCAGATTTTTGTCGGCCCCCGGCTCAACCAGCCACAGTTGGTCGCTCAGTACAGCCGAGTCCTCGATCAAGCAGACCGTCAGCTTGAGTGGTTTTCTTTGCCCGCGCTTGTCTTTGGCTTCTCTCTATCGGTTTGCGTTGGCCGTTGTATCGCTCCAACTTATACTGACACGTGTGAGACCTTGCATAGCTGGCGCTTGTATTCCCCTGCCGAGCCATGCCGAACTGCTGCCTTTTTTGCCACGCACAGTAGGTCGCTTGTAGCGCCGGAATACCGGAAATCTGGGGGGGGGGGGGGGGGGGGCGAGGTCGCACCCAGCCTTTTGTAAGCTCGCTATCAATTCGCCCAGGTTGTTTGCAACGCCGGCTTTCTGCATTTCCAGTTGTGGTTGATGTGGGACCCCCCCCAAAAAACACGAGAAGGAAAAAAAGAAAGAAACTACAACACACACACACACACACAAACACTTCAGCAGTTGCCACCAGAACCAAAACTAATATGTTGATTATGGCCCATACCTAAGGAAATCCTACCGACCAAACTTGGTCACCGAATGTCCAGAATTCAATGGGGTTCTCAAGAGTACGGCGGGGGGTCGTATCTCTCTTTCAGCGCCACGAATGGGCAACTCGGGACGGCAGCGGCTTTCGTTCGGGATGGTTGATGTTGCCGTACTAACCGTAACTTCCGGGCAAAACATAGCTTGCTGGGCTACCACCTGACCCTTGATGAAGGTTAGGTTTCTTGCAGAAGCCTGTATTTTGGGTTACCGAATACTGCTGCCCTTCACGCAGACAAGAAGGGCTCCAGCCCTTGTCGGCCCCTTTGCCGCCAAATCCCAAGTTCTTGGTCCTAGTAGCCATGCGGCCTAGGCCTCACCGTTTGCCTGCCCTGCGTGAAGAAGCGCCGCATGTCGGGGTTCATTGGAGAAATGCCGGGGCCCTCAGAACAAACCTCATCCGCAGTGACATCCTCATAACCCTTGTGCAAATTGGGTCCCACTTGTAATTTTTTGAAAACTCTGATTTCTGAACTTTCAGCTGACTCTCAGGATGCCAAGCGATACTTGAGCGATACGGTGAACGGGGATATTAGGCGTTAGGGACGTGTGGCCATTCCGCGAGGAGACGCTCCGCTCCAGCATCAAACCTAGAGGGCCTCCTTTGAAGGGAATGAACTGCTGCAAGAACCTCCAGTCAGGTTCCGTGTTTGTAGGCATGGCTCCATCTGGCCAGAGGGTGAATCCCAGGATCCAGCATAGGCACTGATTTGTGGATGCACCCCTTTAGGGCATGGAGCCCCTGATTTGGTTGTTTCCAATGTGAATTTGGGCATGTCCTGCAATTGGGGATCCCCCTTTGGGATGGTTTTCGATTGGCCAACCCTGTTCCCTCCAAAAGCGCCCCCGTGGATGAATTGGACCAATTGGACCAACAGGGCGGCAGCCCTCTCGGCCGAGGTCGAGCTTTGGTCACGCTCAGAACGCGCCCTCGGCAACATTTTCCTGGCAGTTCACACAACTGGGCCCTGCCCCCTCTCGTGGAAAGCCAAAGGTTGCCTAAAAGCAGTAGCGGGAACGGACTGCAAGATTGGTTTGTGGGTGGGCACGCTGGCATGGAAGTTTGTGTAGCTGGGCCGAGTGAGCGTTACTGTTTGGGCCGAGCAGTTGGTAAAAAACTAGATGCACCATGCAGAACACGTCTCCCTGCACTAGTAGCGTAGTTCTTGCAAGGCAGATGGCGATCCTTTCTAGCAGTGTGGACAGGGCCAGCCAGCCAGACGGACACACTCGGGGAACGGGTGTCAAACGGGGGCGGTTGTTGACATTTTGTGCCTTTAGCAATGATAGAGCTGCCGAACCGCAGCCGCGCCCGCAGCCTGTGCGCGGCCGAGGTGATTTTGTCGGACCTGGCGGCCGAGCTCCGGCCTGACCTCGCCGCGGCGGTGGCGGCGCGGCAGAAGGGCAACGCCTGCTTCGCGGAAGGCCACTGGGCCAAGGCCGAGCAGGCGCGGGGCAAAGCGGGGCCTGGCAGAGGGAAATGAGGATGGCTCTTGCCTGGGGTGTCACGGGCCCAAAAAGCAAAAGGGCGGGGTACTTGGGCCTGAATGGCGACTGGCACCAGCTGCGGATTAGGTCATCATAGCGCAATACTGCGTGTGTTTACTGCCCTCATATGGTACATGTCCCTTGGGTGGGAAGATGTTAAGTTTTTGGTCTTTTCCTTATGGGCAAAAATGCAAAAGTCAAGTTTCTCATGTTAGAGGGGTCTGTTTTGGGAACTTTGAAGTGGGATTTCGCCTAGCAAGTGGATAGTGAGTCAATAAGCCTGGTTTGGGGGACTTGGTAACGGTGAGGGGGAGGTGTATTAAATTTTTTTTTTGTGTTGTTGTTTCGCTTGCCTGCTTGCTTGCTTGCTTGCTTGCTTGCCTGCCTGCCTGCCTTGTTTGTTTGTTTGTTTGTTTGTTTGCATGTTTTTGTTTGTTTGTTTGTTTGTTTGTTTGTTTGTTTGTCTGTCTGTCTGTCTGTCTGTCTGTCTGTCTGTCTGTCTGTCTGTCTGTCTGTCTGTCTGTTTGTTTGTCATTGTTGTTCGCAGTTTTTTGCTTTGCTCTTTGTTTGTTTGTCTGTCTGTTTTTTGTGAGTGGTTGGTGGGTTGGGTTGGGCTGGGATTGGTTGGGTTGCGTTGGGTTGTTTGCACACGCACACATGCACGCGGGTGGGGGGCCCCAACGGCTGCCTTTTCTGCAGCGCTTGTGGTTGTGGACATGGCAAGCAGGATGTCGTTGGATGGTGGCGCAGGATCCAGCGTCACATTCCACCCAACATGCCTTACAGGGGGTGTCCGCCAGATATGGGTGTGAAGGAAACGTTTTCTCGCCAGGCTTACTCCGAGGCCATCGCCTCCTCGCCGGATTTGGTGCTCTTCTGCAACCGCGCCATTGCGCGGCTGAAGCTGGAGGATGGGTCTGGGGCCCGTGGGGCGAAAGCAACCCCCACTCCCAGCCAGGAAGCCAAGCAACCGGTCAACCCAGGCAACCACCCAAACCGTCTCAAATTGAGGGTGCACCGCCAAAATGTGTAATTTCCTGTGGTTTGCCTTTGAAGGCGTGCCATCAACAATTATAAATGAGCGGTGATTTCTTGCCCGCCGTTTTGAAAGTAGGGGGGACAGGGACAGTATTCTTGAAAGTGTGCGCCGTGCCTCGTGCGTGGAAGCTTGCGGAAGGCTTTGCGGAAGAGTTTTTTTTTGCGGAAGGTTCGCGGAACCTCAGTGGTTTTGATATGATTTGTTGCAGTTTTTGTGCTTGGAACATGTTCAAAATATGGGCGGGGGGAACGAGTAGAAGCAGAAAGGTGTTGCTGCATACAACAAGCGCAACGCTTGCTAGCAGAGCAGTTGCCAACACCATGCCAAGAGCATCAAAGCAACCGGCGTTTTTTTGGGGGAAGGCTTGCTGAAGGTTTGCGGAAGCTCCGCGGAAGGGTGACTCCGTATCTGCGGGCAAGTGGCCACATAGCACCGGCCCTATGAAGCCCAAGCCTACGTTGCGTCTGCAACGCAGGCGGAACATGAAGCACTGGAACAAGTTTCTTGCCGCCCCAGCTCCATGAAAGCCAGTAGCTGAGTAAACTACTCGCCAGTCAGAAGGAAGGACTTAGGGTGCGAGTAGGAGTTTCACTCCCGACAGCTGACACAAGAACCACAAGAAAAAATGTCATTTGCCGAGCGGACCCTTGTCTGCAGTGGAGCGAATGATAAAACACAAAAATATGTTCAGGTTGACGTTCTGGATGATGGACAGGTGCGGGATGTCGGATTCGTTGATGTCCAGTGGGTGCCGAGATCCGTTCAGCTCATGCAAGGGATGTAGACAGGGGAGTTTCACTCTGGTTGATCCTTGGCTTGCATTGTTTTTGGTCTTTGTTTTGTGTTGTTCTGTTGGGGTCAAAATTGAGGTTAGGGAGTCTTGGAGATGTTGCTCTTGTTCATCATGAGCAGAGAGGCCAGCCGGATCATGTCTTTCTGGGGTTCTGATCTGCAAACGTTTCACACATGTTCAAGCACAGCACCCCCTTTGCTCTTTAAGCATCACAGCTGCCAGGGCCTCGTGCTTTCTCAGGGCTCGTAAGCAGCCGACTGAGCTTCGTTTATAAGCTTTGGCCCTGAGAGCTTGCTTGTTCTTAGGGGTGAGGGCATAAGGGATACTGGTGCTAATCTTATTCCCAGTGTATTCCCAATGAAGATGGGCTTCAGTTTCCATTCCTTTTCAAACCCAACCAACCATATCTCTGCCATATCCCCCATCTTTTTTTGATTGTTTTTCCAGCCCCTACAAGAACATCGACCCTCCACATCCCCCACATCCCCCCACATCCCCCCACATCCCCCCACATCCCCCCACATCCCCCCACATCCCCCATGTCTCCCCCCCCCCCCCAGGACGGCGCAGGGGCGCTGGCCGACTCCCTGCAGGCAGTGGCCCTGGCCAGGGGCCCCAAGCGCCCCATGCGCGACAAGGCGCGGGTAGGATGTCTCAAGGTGCCACGACTGGTGGTAGGTCCCTTGATCCGTGCACCCCTCGTAAGCTTTGGATTAGAACCCTAGTCTAATCCGGAAACAAAGTTATGATGTATGATGTACCCATCAAAAACATAAGCTCAGGTGATATCCCGAACAGCATGCGGTGCTCTTTTCAGTGCTCGCACCACTTCGCAGCCCTCGCAGAACCTCGTGGAACCCTCGTGGAACATAATATAACAGATTCAATTGCGCCTTTCGCTGTTGAGTTGACAAATGCAACCACTGCCTTGAACAATTCCCTTTTTAACTCCTTACTAAACAAATTGCGATGTTGCTGGTGCCTGGCAAAGGGTGGGCACCAGGTTGTTGTTGGTGTTTTTATATTATATATATATATATATATGTTTCAGGCCGTGGACCGCCCCCCCCCCCCCCCCCCCTTCCCCCCCCCAACCACCCGCCCTGTGGGGGTTGGGGTGGGGGTGGAGTTTGGGTGGTTGGGTGGGTGGTTGGGGGTTTTGTTTGGGGTTGGTTTAGGGTGGGTATAGTATAGGGTTGGTTTATGGTTTGAGGTTGTTTTAGGGTTGGTTTAGGGTGGGTTTAGGGTGGGGTTAGGGTTGGCTTAAGGCTGATTTAGGTTTGGTTTCAGGTTGGTTTACGGTGGGCATAGGGTTTACAGTGGGTTTAGGTTTGTGTTGGCTTAGGGTTGGTTTAAGGTTGATTTAGGTTTGGTTTAGGGTTCGAGTTAAGGGTTAGGGGAGTAGGATTGGTTTAGGGTTGGGGTTTGGGGGTTGGATGTGGGTTGAGTTGTCCTACGTGTCGGCATGCAAGGGTGCGAGTTGAGGGGCTCGAGGAGACGGTCTGGGGACCGTAGCAGCGGGGTGTGGGGATCCGGGTGTCTGGGGTTGGGCGGGGGGGGGGGACCCTACCCTTTGGGGGGGGGGGTAGCGAGGCAATTCTCTGCGTGATGGTGGGGTGTCATGTCAGTGCCGGCCGAGCGGTCGGTCGGTCGGTCGGTCGGCTCGTGCCTCATTTCCACCCTAAGCCAAAGGAAACCCACTCTAAAGAATGAGCCTAAACAACCTAAGCCACAAACGAACCCTGAGCCGACCCTAAACCAATCCTAAACCCGACCCTAAACCCACCCTACATACAAATCCACCGTAAGTCCACCCTGAACAAACCCTACATCAGACCTCAGCCAACCCGAAAGCAAAACCAAACCATAAATCCAGCCAAAGCCCACCAACCCTAAACAAACCTTAACCGCGCCTTGACACCACCCCAAACCCACCCTAAACCAGCTGTAAGTCAGCCCCAAACCAACCACAAACCAGCCCCAGGCCAATCCACATCAGAAACCATCCATAAAGCCAGAGCCCTAAGCCATAATTAAACAACCTCAACCCACAGACCCTAAACCTCACCTAAACCAGCCCCAAAAAGCATCCCAAACCAAGCATCCCAAATCCACGCCAAACCCACCCTACAGACACCCTAAGCCTGAACCCACCCCAAACTAACCCTGAAACAAACTAAACCTGTTGCATTTTGGAAACAAGCCTCCTCAGCAAAGCGAACCTTCTGTCAACTTTGTGGTGTATTGAAAGCAAGCTCTCTTCAAACATGTGAACCCTACGCAGACCTCTTTTCTTTTTTCTGGACGAAACCAGAGCACAGAACTTCCCCGCTTTCGTCCAATTTTGCTAGGTGCCAGGAGCTCGGTGGTATTTGTTTGGTTTCCCTTTAAAACCACCCAAAAAAGGGTACTCTCAAAAAGATCCCATTCCGATTCAATTTGTGCAGACCTTGTGGCAGGCGTGGCTGCGCCTGGGTCAGTGCCTGGGCTCAAAGGAGGCCGCCTTTGCAATGGCCATGGCAGGCGTCGGGCGGGTAGTTGGACTCCCAAGAATCGGACGACCATCCACCCACCAAAAGCTGGCCACACCACCAACCAGCCAACCGACTGACCCACCAACCAACCAACCACACACACATCCACCCACCCACCCACCCACCCACCCGCCCGCCCGCCCGCACCCACCCACCCACCCACCCACCCACCCACCCACCCACCCACCCACCCACCCACCCACCCACCCACCCACCCACCCACCCACCACCCACCCCACACCCACCCACCCCACCCCACACCCACCCCACCCCACCCACCCACCCCACCCCACACCCACCCACCCCACCCACCCACCCCACCCACCCACCCCACCCCACCCCACCCCACCCACCACCCCACCCCACCCACCCACCCACCCACCCACCCACACCACCCACCCACCACCCACCCACCCACCCACCCACCCACCACACCACCCACCCACCAAACCTTCCAACCTTCCAACCTTCCAACCTGCCAGCCAAGCCATGCGGCCTTCAGCCATGCGCGACTCGCAGCTTGTGACTCGCGAGAGGAGCGACACCTCAGCTCCAAGACGTGGCGGCGCAGCTCTCTGAGGAGGAGCTGGCGAAGGCGGACGGAAGCCACCGGTGCCAACCCGGGCCGTCCTTCAACTCTTTGTGGTTGAAAAGCAAAAACCACCTGGTAACCAACGAATCCAAGGAGGTTTGTCCTCTCAACATTTCATTGCAATATCTCAAGACTGGCCCTAGCATCCCAGTGTTGATGACACCATCCCAACAACTGTGAACAACTGTTTTTTTGGGCTCTTTCACATTTCGAGGGGTTCTCAAATTACTTGTGGTGGTATAATTTTCCTTCACACCTCTATAATTGGTGAGTAAAGCATTGAGGATCTCTCTTGCTACATTGGACCCAGCAATGTGGCAAGTTTCTCCTGAAATGGTAGGTGCTCCAACTTGGGCTGTAGAGCCTTGGGCATCCTCATGATATCTATGGCGACATACATTTGCACCAACACACGTTCACCCAAGAGTCCCCAATACAACATCAGACCCAATAGGGCACCTCTGAAGAAATGGTCGTTTGCTTTCTCCTTCCTTCAAAAAACATCCTTTTCGACACTTTGCGACAAGCTGCATATGCTCGGCGTTTGGCGGAGCAGATCCCCTATTCAAAAACATCCAATTTTGCTGGCCAAATTGTCGATAGTTCCCACTTCATGCATCTCAGTAAGCCGGGGCTGCTCGCCCATTCCCATTCCCCGTTGTGCCGATCAAATGCCGGATGCTTTCCATGGGTGTAAATTTCGCTTCGCCTTATACGTGAGTGAGGTGTGGGGGAGCGTGGAAGTGGAGGAGCAATGGAAACCAAACAAATCCGCCTCCTAGCAACCTAGTACTTGCACCACCTATTTTGAACAGCTGTCTAGATCTGTGGCTTGGATGTGGAGTCAGCTTGAAATGAGCGTTCGAGTCCAATCACCAACTGCTCAAAGTCCGCTGGGCTATTTGTGGGGCTTGTGTGTGAATTGTTCAGTGAGGGCATTTTCCCAGCGAAGACATATCAGTGGGTTGCCCATGCGGTCAGGTGGAAGTATGGCTGAAGGAAGGCCGATGCCCTGGCATCGAGGCGGAGACGTGTTTCCTTCACTTACATGCAAACACCGCGCATGCGTTACATGATCTCAGCCGTTTAGCAGGCTCTTGAAAACGGTTTCCAGCTTGCACCAAAGGACTCGCATGTGCATCTGAAAGGGTGATCACTCGCTGAAGTGACTTTCCCCGGCGCGAGTTCCGAATCCTTTCCACATGCTCTCCTGAAACCGCCAACTCCAAACAAAAGCTGCATGATTACGGAATGTCCTCCAAATGCTTTTAACGTGCTTCTCAAATGCTCCAAAATCCCGACTGAAACCAAGCATTCCGCCCGAATGCTGCCCAACTGCAGCGCTGCCTCGACAGTTCAGCAAACAAGGTCTACGTGTTGCACGTCTACATGTGGTTGGATTGGGGACACTGAGGCGCCATTTTCACGCAGGGACTCGACAAGTGAATACTTTTCTGGATTCCCAAGCTGATCCCGTCAGCCTGATGAACTCGCCACGCTTGGTGGCCAGAGCTGCAAATCCTTGAGAATGTCACGACCATTCGAATCAACAAGACTCATAAGAATATCACGCGTGCAGCTGCTTGGGCCCTTGTGTTGCCCTCTCAAGAGTTGAGCTGACACCATCGCAGAGTGCCTTGCCTCCATTGCGCATGAACGAAATAACGTCCTGTTGGCCAATGAAGGTTTCAGTAAGTACGAGCGCAACGCTAGAGCTCAACTTCACTCGCCTTCAAACTGTTTCTTTGTCTGATGTGTATTGATGACAAGGCCCTGAAGGTCCAGAGACCTGTCGTGACCACTCCGAGCACGTTCCCCAATGGCACAACCCTACTGTTCCCCAATGGGTGAATTCTCCACTCTAGTGTACGGGCCTAAATAATTAGAATGTGGTTTGTGGGGTACTTCAACACCACTCCTAGTTCATTTGCCCCTTATGTTGCCCCTTTCTTTGAGCAACCCTGAACAATTCTCTGATACCACCCTCCAAAGAGAAGATGTGTCAGAGCAGACACTTTGCAGAACATGGAAAAAGATGGCCCGATGCCCAAAAGGAGTCTCCTCGAAAGTTCTCCGGTTCCATGTTCTGGGGAGTCAATTGGCACTTGAGCCATCAACACCAGCTAGGTCGCCCTAAGAAATGCGCCAACCACACACGGACGTTTGCAGGGGTTTCCGTTTTGTTTTTCTTCTTCTTTTTTTCTCCTTTTTTGTTTCTTTTTTTTTTTTTCTTCTTATTCAATATTTTGCATCCGGAGCCCCGCAGGCCCAGCTTCCGGCGAAAGCGCCAAGGCCCAGTCTTAGCTTTGGCCAGGAGGAGCATTTGGCAAGGGGAAAGGGCCATTTGGGTGTAGGGGACCGCAGGTTTTTAGTCCACTTTTCCATTTACCGGGCTTGCATTTTGGGCCGATTCCCTTTTTTGAGCCACACCCTTTTGGGTTCATCACCTCCCACCATTCAACCATTTGTTGGTCCTGGCAAGTTTTGCAGCTTGGTCGCTGCAAAACCTAGGAAACCTCTGGCTCAAAGTTGCCGGAAGTGTTTTTTTTTGTGATGCCACGCCTTCCCACAATTTCTTCAGTTGACACACCCGCATCACACCTCCCACACGGATCTGATTTCGGGCTCGTCCGCAGGAGTGGCTCCGATCTCAATTGGAGTGCCCCCTCTGCTTGGGCCTGCAACTTGGCTTTCGGTTTCTTCCAGGTTTGGATCGCCGCAGAACGCGAGGAGGGTTTCACAAAAGGTCTAGCCTCATGAAGAACTAGCCAGTGGCCGTTATCAGAGGCGTTCCATTTTGTGTGTTAACCACGTCCACTTGCAAACCGCTTGTGAACCCATGCACAATCGAACAGTGTGGCCTGCCCATCTTAATTCTCTCCGTTTAGGAGCTGGCGTGGCATGCTTTCGTTGGCCATGTTGGCCAGATGCCGTGCGTGCGTCGGTTGATGCGCGCCAATAATTCAGCACCTTGTCAACTACGCTTGGGTCTCCCGCCGAGCTGTGTATTTTTCTCTTTGTGATCGGTTTATGGCTTCGCTCCGAGTGTAGAAGTGCATCCTTTTGTGCCGGGGCTGAAAAGGCTTGACACAAAACATATATGTTTCGTCCTAGACTTTGTTCAGCCCACCTGACTTGTCAAGATCAAATCGTGAAAACACGTCAGGGGTGGATAGGGGAGATATTGTCGAGTTTTTGCAAATGGACCGCTTTTCGAGCGGCGGAAACCAACGGCAACAGCCTCATTTTAGGTGTCCCCAACTTGAGCAACCTTCACGGTACCCCATTCTTGTGCGTTTTGTCGAGGGAGTATGTGCGGAGAAACGCAATTTCCCAATGAATGTGTCCATGTCCATTCGGAACACGGAATATGATTTTTGGCACATACGGTGCACAAGAAGTAGCTACAATCAACTACAGTACAACTTGCTATTTGCTCGCAACACATTCTCTCGCTCTCTCTTCCTGAAGCAATGAAAGTGATGGCCTTTGATCTAGCGGAAAGCAGTTGCTAGGGTGCTTTGCTCTGCAGAGTGAGGATTTGGTTCCGGGCTTGAGATGAAAGCAAACATAAGGGGACAATCGTGAGCACACCCAAGAAAAGGAGGTGATGGCGGGTTAGCAGGGATTCGTCCCTGCTTTGCCACGCTTATTTCCGGGTTGGCATCTTGCAACGTCAACTCGTCTTGGGCTTCAGCCCTTGCATTTCGAACTTTTAGAGCTGGTGGCAGCTGGGGTCCTAGATTCTGCCTTTTCGTGATGGGGAGCCATTATCCACGGCACTTGCTTCGTTTCTTTCATTGTCACTCCCTTTGTCATTGCTCGCCTTTCTCAACTTGCGTTGTCATGTCCTTGTACCTTTTCTTTTCGCTGCCTTGTCATTTCCTTTGTCATGCTTCTGTTCCTTCTCTCTCCCGAAACAAGTTTTAGACATGCCAGACAATTTCGTCAAGCCATTTTCTGTGGGTTCCATGCACAGGGTAAAACACGCTAAAGCAACACCCTTTCCATGTAGAGCCGGTTGAGGCTGTGGGAGCCTGCCTCCATTCCCTGCGGGCACACCTTGTGCCGCTCGAACGGGATGGGAGCGGAGCGCTGCTTTTTGTCTTTCCCCATCAGAACGGAACCGCAAAAGTGGCCACTGTGTTTCGCCGGAACCTCTGTTTCCCAGCCCGGGCGCCGTCTCTCTACTCCCATTTAAAGTAGGACTCCCAAGCACTTGCACGCCAGGGAAAGAGTTGCTTGCCCTCGTGGTTAAAAGCAAAGCACCACAACTCAATCAGGGTGGGTGCTATTCAGAAAGCTCAGCCGTGCTCGTTTTACACGCTCTCCGGATTTGAAGATGGTCCGATGGTTGTTGGCATCAGAATGTCTCTGGGTTGACGGTGTCTGGAAACATTTGTGTAACTGTCAAACCGAGCGGCTTTTGAAGGAAACCATAGGAAACGCAGTCATGCGGATGGGGTCCCTAGTTTTGACACCCATGTGGTTTACGAAGCGTCAGAGGCTTTTGACAGGGATGATGCCATCCATTGAAAGGGATGATTTGCACCTGGGCTCTAGACCATTAGGAGTGGTTTCCCAAACCATGTCCCATCGCAGTTCATGGAGAAGGGCTATTTGGGATAGCACACAAATTTTGTTGTGTCGTTAATGCCACCACCATGGATCAGAAGTACGCAGAGCGTGGCGAGGTTTCTATTCGGTGAATTCCAAAAGGGGTCCATGTATTACAAAAAATAACCCTTGGTTGAAGTGTTTTGGGGATAACTATAACCAAACAAATGAAGCCCTGGTTTTGTCCAGAGATTGTCTCTTGATTGACCACAATCTGACAATCACTCAACATGGATCTTTGGGTTTATTTTGATCAGACTCCGAAAAGGGTACCAAACCTACAAAGCAGGCACGCGAGCCCGGCGCTGGGAGGGCCCACTTCACGCACTTACGCAGCCTCGATCGTGATTTCAGCCATCACTGGCCCAGCCAGAAAGCTGGGAGCAGGCAAGCGAAGCAAGCGAAGCCGTCCTCATCACAATTTGCATTCCCCCAAAAGGGATCGCTTCAAGGGGGCCCGCTGATTGCCGGGGCTAGACACCGTGACAAACTTTTCCCGGGCCCAACCATTTCCATTCCCTTGCACCACAAGAAAGGGAGCCCTGAACAAGACGAGCCCTTCCTAATGGGGGCTTCCCCTTCATTTCCTTGAAACTAGGCGGAAAACGGTTGCTCAACGCAGGGCACACACGTCCGCGCGGCATTCGGGCTCTTGTCTCTTCGCTGGAGGCCGGTGTTGTCTGGCGCGGACATTGGACCACGCCTTCGACACCGCCCCCAGCTGTCCCATGTGCCGCAAGGACCTTGCGCCCTACCTGGCCCGGGGACTCGGGGACTCGGGGACTCAGGGAGAGGTTTCCTCGTTTTCTACGCACACTTGCTCGCCATTGATCGAGAAGCTACGTTGCCTATCTTTGGGTCCCGCGGTGCCAGGCCAAAGCAACAGGCTTTGCAGATGGGTTCTAGAGACCCGGGTCCCTCATCCTCTTTCTTTGCTTCTTTCTTCGAGCCAGTGTCGCATCGAGTTATGTGCAGGGTTGGGCATTTGTCCTCAAACCCGGCCCTTAGGGAAACCAACAGAAGTTTGTGTCAATATGGTTTAACCATTAGTCATTTTTGAGCAAGGTAACCCAACCCTCGGATCGATTCCCGTTGCATATTTTGAGAAACATCCACATCCCCGACCAAGCAAGACGCGCACCTTTTGCTGTCCCGCAAGGGTCTCTACTAGGAAGCCCAGTGAGAGCACTGCTTGCTGTGACGTTTCTTAAGATTGATTCCCCTGAACATGGTTGGTGTTGTTTTGGAGGGGTTCTCTCCCCCCCTTTTTTTTGTTGGGGGGGCAGGTTGAAAGGAAATCACGGAAAACCACTTGCGATACAGGGCTGCCTGTTGGGTCGAGCTTTGAGGGCACCTGTGGGAACTTGAGGCTCCTATGCCCTCTATATACGCACCGCGTAAAGAGGGCTGCCTTCGGCACAAACGAATCATAGCCACGGGAATCCGAACCCCTGTACGTTCCCTTGTTCCTTGTGTAAATATGGGTCTTCTGCCCCAAAAACAAGGGCTTCTCCTCGAAAAGATCTTCACACACTGACAGAAAAGGCATGACTTGACTGCACAAGCTGGGGTTTTTGACTCTTGCAATTCAGCCTGCGTTAAATTCAGACTGAGGATGGACATGAACCCCGGAATGAACATCTACTGTGTAGCTTTGGAGAATATGTTTTATACTCTCCTAACTTGAACACCAGAGAATCCATTTCTTGAGCAATATGGAAGACCCAGGACTCGATGGTGTTCTCTCTACGAATTTCAGATGGCAATGATTTTACGAGGGGACCACCTAAGTGATTGGTGGACATGAACCCCCTAAGCAATGTCCACCAAAGGGTCAGTCATACCCAGATCATGGCCCATCGAATGCCTGGCTTGAAGAGAGGGGAACACCATTAACATCAGACGTGAGATGTGGTGTTTCGCGTGCTAGGCGTGGCTTAACGCGCGGGCCCGTGCTCAGCGCGTACACGGGGGTGCCCAGATACCAGCGCCATGGATGCAAGCACTTTTCAGCCGTTTGGGTTTGGAATGCGAGCAAGCTTCTAGTTGTTGGGATTTGAACATGAATTGGGTATCCACAATGCGTTGTGCCCGGGCTCTGCCCCTTTTTCACAGGTTCTCGACTTCGGTTTCAAAGGCAACACCTCCCCAAACTTCGACTGACCAAGCTGGGACGGCCTTCCATTCGAGCGTCACGTGGATCCTAAGCCCCTCAGATCTTTTGGGCTTCATGTGATGTTCCGTTAAGCCTCCAAAAGGTTTGTTTTTCTGATGGGGAAGACGTAGCACACAAAAGACCACAACAACAAAGTAAAGGCTTTTGATTTGTGGACTGATGAATAAGCAATCTTTTGCTCCACATCTCGGGTCAAAGTCAGGTTCGAAATCCCCGGCTCAGGGAGCGTCTCAGAGAGTTGAGTGTCGATTGTTCCTGGTGGGGGTTTGCAAGGACAAAATACAGAAAAGGCACTCATTTTGTTTTTTGCAGTCTCTGGCAGAAATTGGATTGTAGAGGTCAAACCGTACATGCTATTTGGGAATCATCCCCGGAGGTCAAGTTTTTGCAGCAGTTCGCAAGCCTTTAAGAAACTTTCTGCGAAGCGCTTGAGTCGTGGACCAAACCTCCTATATCCAACTCCGGCCGAGGAATCCCTGAATGAATCAGCCAGTGAACATAGACTCTAGGGGTCGTTTTGTCTTCGAAGCTCTTGGCAGCAACATGTTTCGGTCATAGGAACCTTTTGCAATCGAAGAGAGGCCCTACGTCGGTGAATGTAGAAAGATCAATTTGCCCACGTACATCCAGGTTGTTTTGTTTACCACAGTAGTATGTAGCCTGGAGAACCATCATGTAAGACCTGCGAGTGGAGGAAACCTGGTGATCCAACATAGGCAGTACTATCATCTCGTTTGCTTACCATTGTGAAGGGAGCCTGTTCCCTTTAACGCGGTGACAACCCTACACTATGTAGGTGTTTTTTCTTCAAGGATGCCCCGTGCTTGTCGAAGCGTACACAATCCAGAGGGTTTGGGATGGTTTGGGGGGGTTCCTGGCGTGGATGGACAAAATCCTGCGCCAGTACCAACTGGCGAGAAGATCCACAGTGTGTTTGAACTAGACTTCTAAGAGGAGCCACAAACAGGTTGTCCAAACTGGCGTGTAAACCATAGGTGTTTGGGGCTTATGGGAATTGTCAGCCCTCATGTCTGCATCTGCTTCTAGGTGGACAAGAAGATCGCGGCCATCATTGAGCGGTGCTTCTCTGAGAAGGAGAATCTGGGACGCAATGGGCAAGCGTTTCAACTGTGTGTTTCTAAACACGGTGGACACCCTGTTGCCTGGTATTTAGAAGACCACCAGAAGGACACCAACCATTTTGGGTGTCCCTGATTCCATATGGGAATGATGCGTTTTCATAGCTCAATCCCTGAGTTCCTGAACCGTATACTTTAGTGGTTGCTGTGGTCATGCTCCGGGCACACTTCAAGAGGTGCTGTACTGGACTTTGCACTTCTGGGAAGACCATTTGAGCGGAACGCAAGAGTTCGGGGGCACGTGTGTGGCAAATCCCCTCGGAGATGGTGGACATGAAGCCACGTAAATGGTCTCCACCGAAAGGTCCTCAATCGACAGTCAGTAGCAAAAAGCAACAAATATTTTGCAACATGCCCGATTGCACGTGTGCTTGCTTCGGATTAAATGATGTTTAAAGGGGAAGGGGGAAACATAGTGAACCTGAAAGGCTGCGAAGAATCTCCTTGTTTCGCCTTGCACTGTGACCTGTCACTTCGCCGTCAGTTGGGTTTGACAGGTAAGTTGTACCTTGCTGTCCTCACTCCATGTTATCACTGTGCCCCTCGTGCTTTGAAACGCCTCCGTTGCATTTGTTCCTCTTGAAGCATGTGGTCTGTGTGTGTGGAGAAAGTACTGGCCCTCTCTTATACGGGAGCAAGAGCAGGTTTGGGAGGGGGCTGTCGAGGTTGCGTTAAGGCTTGTGTGCCGGGTACTGGGGGTCAGGGTCTGGTCAGAACACGATATCGCATTGCCCTGCAAGCGATGCGCAACGCAAGTGGACTTGTTCTCGGTACTGATCATCAGTTGCTCTTGGGGCATGTTGGACACTTCGTAGGTGGTGTGGCTCTAAAACAGCGGTCAGAGATTAGTATAGCAAGCTCGGGGAGACTGCGTTGCCAGCCCTTGCCGGGCTTTCATAGGGGTGGAGTACTCAATGCAACTGGTAGTGTGGTCTGTGCTGGGATGCTTTTGACCCAAGCGAGCCTTCCAGTTTCAAACCGTTCTGCCCTAAGCCCGCGGAGAAATAGCCGGACCCGGAAAGAAGCAAACCCATGCGTGGCTCGAGCCAAGTTGCGCAGCTTGGATGCGCTTGAAAGCCTCGGTTCAATCTGATGTCCCGGTTTATTCTGTCGTTTTGGACCCAGGGCCCATGGCGACGTTCCCAAGGGCCTGGGCGGGTGGCCATGGAGATCCATCCTGTGAGAAAACTGGAGCTGCCCTGCTCGGAGAAAGAGCTGGAGGGGCATACATCTCCATTTTCGCTTTCGGCCAGCTTTTGGCCACTTCCGTGACCGACTCCAGACCTACCCCGTGGTAAGGCGCCTGGAGCGGGAGGCGCAGGTCCGCACAGCGGAGGCGGAAGCGGATGGCCGAGACTTCTCTGCCGGAGCCCCAGTCGTCCTGAGACGAAGATGCAGATCCTTTGGGGAGATCCAAGTCTTCTATCAGGTTTTTGGGTCAACACCGTTTTGGGATCCCATTTGGGGGTAGGTGAATTCACCACCCATGTTAGAACCCATAGTGGGGATTAGGATGTTCACTGGGGGTGCGATTTGGATTGTGACCCATGGCCCTGTATGGGGGCGGGGGGGGGGAATTCTTGTGGTCGCCATTGGCTTTCCTTCAAAAAGCGCAGCCCGGTGTCCTTTTTGTGTAGGAGGCCACGAACCCCGAATGCAGACAGGTGCAACCCCAAAGGCATTCCCAAATACAGCACCAACCCACAAGAAACTACTCCAAAGATATCCCCAAAAGCATCCCCAAAGATACCCCCAAAAGCACCCACGCGGACAAACGCTAGGACTTCCCCAAGCCCTCACGACAAACCAAAGACATATCAAGCACCATTCCCCCAAAAGCACTGGAAGGAGATCAGGCGCGAAAACACATCTTGAGTGGCACCGTGGTGGCCCCAGCGCGCCTTTGCGCCCGATTCACAGCGCCTGATGAGAGGTTTCCTTTGGACACCTCAAGGTGCCAATGAAAAGATTGGTTTGGGTTTTTTATTCTGTGACCATGGTCATGAAACGCCATGGTCACCAGTAGCCTTCAAACGCCCTACGAAGCAGTTGCTCAAACACGGCCATTCCTGGCTGATATGGACCTTGTCAGGCCATGCACGGCGCCATTTGCCTTCTCTTTTGTTCCCCAAACAGCTAAAAGCTTTGGGGTCTCAGCCCAGAGAGACTGCGGGGTGGTCCGGCCACGGGTTCCACCAGGGTTGCACCAGGGTTCCGCCAGGGTTCCGCCAGGGTTCCACCAGGGTTCCGCCAGGGTTCCACGAGGTTCTGTGAGCACCGTATGCTGTTGGGGATATCACCTGAGCTCATTTCTTTTTTTCTTGGGGGGGGGCTTTGAACGAAAGGGTGCGACACCACTCTCAGAAACCGACATGTTGTGTGGCCATCAGCAACCACTTGTCTAGCTGATTGGCTTATGTTGTTTTACAGGGTTTAGGGGGTCTAGTATTTTGGACCGCGGGCAGTATTCTTGTTGGGATTTGGCAACACCTAGCCACCTGAACCATCTTGCGAAAGACATAGGGACCCGAACTTCAAGCAGATCGGGGGGGGGGGGGGGCGGGGGGTAGATGCAACATGTTGATACATTTTGGACGCGGCCAACCGGGGTTTTTCAATTCCATTCCAGTGGATTTCCCCTCTGAAAATGCCTGGGTTGGAGCCAGGGGCAAGGGAAAACAGGGGCACCTGCCGGCCGGGTTTGGTTTAGGTGCCGATCTTCATCTGCTCCATGGCTATGCCGTCAGCGCCCAGGCTGCAGCCCTCGAAACATGTGAATGGAAGGCTCAATGGGGAAAGACGAGAATATGCGATGTACAATTTGGGTGTAAACATTGTGCAATTATTTCTCAAAATAGGGGAAGCAATGTGTCCAAGTTACAATTATTTTAGAGGTTGATTTCCCATTATTTTCAAGCATCGTTCTTCCCAAACACCGGCCGTTTTCCGTGGTTTTCGGAGGTTTTCCGGAAAGAAATCCCTGGAAAGAATAGGACGGTTCCCCCAGAAATGTACGACATTTCTCAAGATAGGGGCCCCGATTGGTGCGGCTTTGCAGGGCAACCAAAAGCAAACCAACCACCTCAAAGGGCCCCAATAATTTCGAGAAATTTAATATCCATATGCGTATGGGGACCTTTTCCGGTGAGAGCTTTATTTTGGTGCTTGCAGCTCTTTTTGTACCTTGGAGCACTTTTTGCACGGCTTTTCCAAAAGGCGAGAAGGAACTTGGACCCATTGAGACAGCCAGGTACACTTGACGCTTTTTGCGGGCTGGTTGGCTGGTCTTTGTCTTGCCTCCCATGTTTGGGTGACTTCTATTCCAAAAAGGAAACAAACATCTGAGGCGGGTTTGTTGGGGAAGGACACCTGGAACCGACTCTAAACCTTCGGTTGCCTTTCGGCTGTCTTAGTCTCAAGCGAGCTCCTTCTCGTCCTTTGAAGAGGACTGATCGATTCAACGAAAAGTTTGCAGCCTGGTTTTGCGTTTTTTTTTGCTTCGAGGTGGCGTGCCCGTTGCACATCTTCGAACCCCGGTACAGGCGCGCCGACTTTTGGCACCGGCAGGTGTCCCCATTTCAAGCGGATGTCCTGGATTCAGAGTGCCCGATTGCACCAAACACATTTTCAGTAGTTTGACTAAAGCACCCATGTGGCCTGCCCCTGCGCTTTGCGGCTGAAGCTGCAAATGCGACTTCAGGAGTTCAGTCAAGCTTTTCGCCGAAGCATGTCCAGACCGCAAGAAGCTGCTACCTTGCAAAGATGATTCATACAAATGCATACATCACCTTCTCTGGCTTTGGCAAAGGGAAGCTGTCCAATTGGATTGCGTTTCCTTCTTTCAGCTTTCAGCCCTATTCCAGGCTCATGATGCGGCGCTGCATCGACTCTGGGCAGCGGCAGTTTGGCATGTGCCGGGGCCCCGAATCAACCCACGCTACCCAAGTTGACGGCTGATAATTTCTGGTTTTCTGTTGACTCGGCAGGTTTTGCTACTGAGAGCCTTTGTGGTAAGTCAAGCATGTATTTCGCCGTCTTTTGTACTTGACAGGATCACACGATTTTCAAACGTGTGCCTCCTTTGACTGAGGGCTTGTTCATGCTCTCCTCGCTTTCCGAGGGACCTCACGGTGTCACGCAGTTGCCCACATATCGACCTTTACGACCATCTTGACCAAGCTTCTCTGAGCGTGAGCCATGCTAAAGCCCGGGGTTTCGCCTCTTTTTTGGAGGGAAACCTGAAGGATGAAACGTGTTGACCTGCTTTGGGTCCCAAATATGGTCACATACTTAGACACATGCACCAACGCAGTCACCTAAGCAGACACACAGACGCAGCGCACCTTGTGAACAGCGCACCTTGTGAACAGCGCACCTTGTGAACAGCGCACCTTGTGAACAAGTTGGTGGCTCTCTTTGGGTTTTGCCTCTTTAAATAAGCTCAGGTGATATCCCCAACAGCATGCGGTGCTCGTTTTAGTGCTCGCACCACCCCGCAGCCCTCGCAGAACCTCGCAGAACCTCGCAGAACCGCGTGGAACCCTGGTGGAACCCTGGTGGAACCCTGGTGGAAGCCTGGTGGAACCCTCGTGGAACTATCGTGGAACCTTACCTCAGGGTCGCCCCGGACCACCCCGGAGCCTATCTGGGCTGAGACCCCAAAGCTTTCAGCTGTTGGGGAAAAAAGCAACTAAAACACCAGGGATACCCGCACACGTGACATTGCTTTGGATGTTTTGCCACCGTCAGGTCTCTTCCCGGGAGCTCAGCCGGCGCCTTGGGGGGTGGAAGGGCAGCGTTTGGCCAAACAGCGCCCGGCCTGGGGTGGGGTCAAGGGATTTTGTTTTTGCTTGCTACCGGCTCGAAAATCAGGAATCCCGGCAGTGACAAACGATTGAAACTTTGGAGAGACCGTGTCTGAAAGCCCAGGCAGGCTATAGGCTCTGCTCAATCACTTGCGGTTGCTACTGCTAGACAAAATCCGCTTCGCACCCTGTAGGGATGGAAGCCCTATGAACACTGGCTGATAAATCATCGGTTTGGAGTTGGTTGGATTTGTTTATAGTTGGCCCTGATGGACACTTGGAGTTGGTTGGCTTGCGTTTGACGAGTCGAAACTTAGGAGTTCGGATTTATTGGCCAGGTGTGGGGTTGGTTTGATGCTAGGCGTGGTTGTGCGTTGCTTTCAAACTGTGTTACGCCATGAGAGTGGGTTGGCTGACTTAGATTTGGTTCAGGTTGTTCAAAATCAATCCATCCTGCCAGATGGTCGCGTTTTCTCTTATGGCAGTGGTGCCCGACGGATTGTGGGTTCGGATGGGGCATGCCTCAACTGGAGCAGCCCAAGGACGGAAGCAGAGAAATCGGCCCGTGCCGCCTTGCGAGGTATGGCACGATGCTCCACATCGAAAGCTTCAACCAGCTGCCGGACGGGCGATCCCAGATCAAGACATTGGGCACCAGACGCTTCGAGGCACCGAAACGGTTGGGAACATCCCCACAAACATGGGGGTGATGAGACACACCCGCCCTTCCCACACGCATGGGATGATTAGACACATTGAACAAATAGGGGGAACCTTGGTGGACATGAATTCTGCCAGATTTACCATACAGGGTTAAACATACCCATGTGGAAGAAGTGTCCCTAAAGGGACACTAGGCCAACTTAATGCTTGCCGAGTTGGGCATCCTGTCAAGGGGAACTCTTGGCATCTGAGCTTCAGCGTTGGATGATTCACCGGATCGTATGGGGCACGACCCTTTGCAGGTTCTGGAGTGGGGTGAGAAGGATGGCCCCTTGGCGCAGAAAGTGAAGGGGGAGTCCACTTGGATTGAACGCATGTCGACAATCGGCCTTACAAATTAACGTAAGATGGCGTGTCTCCCGGGCGCGTCGGCTTTTGTTTTATCTTTGGGGTGGAGTGGGCTGGGGCTGGAATTGGTGGGGACGAGGCTGGGTCGTGGCTTGTGAATGGGATGGATGGGGACTAGAGACGGAGGCAGGTTGGAAGTGAATGGAGGCTGAAGGTTCGGGTCATGTGTTGAGACATGCCGAAGAGGCATTTCGAGACATAATCAGGAGGGGGTTCATTCTCTGAAGCATCACCATTTCTTCTTCCGCGATCCCGTGGAATGTGCATCAACTTCGCAGCCCGCACACGAACGAAGGCACAACCGAACAAAATCAAACAACAAGGCGACTAAGAAGAAGAAAGCAAAAACAAACAAACAATCAAACAAATAATCAGAAGCATTTAAACAAAAGAAGCAATGAAACAAAGAAACCAAGAAACAAAGAAACAAAGAAACACAGAAACAACGAAGCAATGACACAAGGAATCAAGCACACACACATGCACACAACGGAGAACCGACCAAGCAAACAAACTGGCAAGCAAGCAAACTTGCAAGCAAGCAAACAAGCAAGCAAACAAACGAGCAAGAAAACAAACAAACAAACCCATCAAGAAAACCAGCAAGCAAGCGCGGAAGCGAGCGAGCGAGCGAGAGCAAGCAAAGACCCAGCCACCGACGCACCCCACACCCCACCCCACACCCCACCCCACACCCCACCCCACACCCACCCCACACCACACACTCCACCCCACACCCCACCCCACACCCCACCCCACACCCCACCCCACAACCCCACCCCCCCACCCACCCCACACCCACGCCCCACACCCACACCCCACCCCACCCCGCGCCCCACAGGGAAGCAACAAGTTTCGAAGTTTTCCCTTGACTGCGCCGTTTGCAAGGAGCCTTGGCTGCGCTCTCTAAAGAAAGCCCGGATCCGGGTCTCGAAGCATTTTCTGGCAAACCTGCTGGCTCCAAAACGTTCGGGTTTGGCCGGCGGCTTGCAAGTTTCTTGTTGCTACGGCGTGTCCTTTGCGATAGGCTCAGATTTCCGCAGGCCCCTTGCCAAGCAGAGCTGCGCCATGGGCGCTTCTCCGGCCAAGGAGGCCCCGTGCTATTACTGGAGCCGAGGCGAGTGGCTGTGGGACTGGGACTTGGACGCGGGCGTCCATCCGCTGCCAGTGTTGATGTGAGGCCCGCGGAGGGGTGGCGGGGCTGATGGGGATAAAAACAGCAAGTGTCCTGGCAGGTGGAAGAAGGCTGGTGGCTGCTGAAGGCAGACGGAAACCTCACCGAGGTGTGCTGGGAGGGCCCGGTTCCGCCGACGTGGGCGGAGTGGGAGGAAGACCGCCAGTGCCGCAGCTGGCACTGGCTGCAAATTGCGGCCGCGGCCCGCGAGCTTTTTTCAGTGGAGCTGGCGGCAGAGGTGCACCGCGCGGGCTTCGGGTGACTGGCCGCGCCGAGGCCCCGGCGGGCGGGCCTAGAAGGGTGAGTCATGGACGCCGCAACCGGCTGAAACAACGTTGCTGTCCAAGTTAGGGAAGGGAACCTGCAGTAGTTTTGTGGCCAGAGAAGGGCAAGAGGGCGGTGAGTTCCGGAGCGGGGGGTCAGGCAAGACGAAGCGTTTGGAGACTCGCCCGCGCCCGGCCCAGGAACTGCGGCGCGGAGGATTGCCCGGCCCAACGCGGCCGGCGGCGGCCAAAACAAAGGAGAGGCACGCGCGGATGGGGCATCTGACTGCGCATGACTTGACATTGCAGGCAGTATCTTTTGGCACGACTTTGCGTATTTTCCGGAGCATTTTGGCTAAAGAAGGCATTCGTAGAGGCGGGCATCTACTCGATGCCCGGCCGGCCACTTTGCGTGGCGACCCCGATGCGTGGAACGCATGGACCCCTGGTAAGGGAGAATATGTGGAAATGAAAATGCTGGATGGACTCTTCGCCCCCCTAAGGGACAGCTGTGCTCCGCATTGAAGCCGTGGAACCCAGAGCCAGAGCTGGGCAATGGCTTACAGCTGCGATTGTGGCAGTGTCGGATCCCTACTTGCAGTGGTGGATCGATGAAAGACCACAAGCCTCTGCAGATAGGGTCTACACTTTCCACATTTGTGAAAGGCCTGCTGACCAATGCAGGGCCACAAAGCGAGACGCGGACTGGGAATTCCCTGCGGAGACAATCCGCAGCCTTACCTTGGGTGACTTGACCAGGGGGATTCCTGAATTCACCAAGTGTGGTCCAGCGGCCAGCGACCTGAAGTGGGACAGGCTTTCGCCCGCTTTCAAGGCAGCGGCACCTCCGGCCAACTCCGAGAGGGCAGATCCGGAACCGAAGGGTCTTGCGGGGGACTTGGCGGACCTGGCCGATGACCTGGCGGAGCCCGGGCGTCCAAACAAGAAAAGGAGAGGCCAGGAGGAGGGCCAAAAGGCCCGGGTGCTTCAGCAAGCAAAGAAGGCCGATGGCGCCAAGCCCCTCCCGCGCAAGAAGAAGAGGCCCAGTCCCTCCGCGGAAGAGGCGTTGGCCAAGAAGCGCAGACAGTGGTGCAAGGCAGAGTCCATCTCCTCGGATGTTGAGTCATGCGCGGCCGGCGATGTTGCACCTTTGTGCGGGAAGGTACGGAAGAAGAAGAAGAAGAAGAAGAAGAAGAAGAAGAAGAAGAAGAAGAAAAAGGCAAAGTCAAAGAAGCTTGACCGTGGTTCGTTTGGGACGGGGGCCAAGATCAGCTATGGAGATTCGAAGGAGTCCTCTGGTAGTGAGTCGTCGGGTTTTCGGGACGCCCCGACCGTGCGGGACCGACACCTAGCTCTTCTGGAATATGCCGAAAGGGTTCCGGGAAGGCTAGCGTCGCATCTTCTGCTAAAAATGCAGACGCTCCTGGCGCGCGCGGGAGGGGCGGGCATGCCCAAGACAGCGGCAGCCGATCCTGTCCCACCGGTGGCGTCGACTTACTTCCAGACGGTGCTGCTGCAGGAGCATCGGCAGAGCATCAATCTGCGGACTGAGGACTCTGGCGTGCGGCCGACATGCTTGCCCACGGATAATTTCCGAGGGACAGTGGACTTGGGCCCAGCATGTGGGACTGATCCCGCGGGCGGGCGCCACCCTGCTGGAGTCCGACGAGGCCCTCATGGCCCTCTCGCAGCGCGTCTCGAGACAAAGCTGAAGGGCAATGGAAAGAGTTGGCCGTCTCCGTGGAACCCGAGCAGAAGGGCAAGCAGAAGGGAAAGAAAGGCAGAGAAGGCAAGGGAAAAGCAAAGGAAGGAGGGGGAGGGGTGTGAGGAGGTCAACTTTGGAGGGATTCCTCTTCCGAAGTTCGGCCGGGCCCCCTGCAAAGGAAGAGCCAGAGGAAGAAAGGCCCTTAGAGGTGGATCCACCCGTGCGGATGGAACTCCTTGAAGAAATGGACTCAGACGGTGCGCCTCGTGGGGCCTTGGCGAGGAGGAAGCTGACCCAGCCTGCGAATGGGGCGAGGACTCTCGTTCTCGTGTGTGGAGCCTTCCGCAGCTCCGCTCTGAAATTGAGAAGCTGCTCAGGAAGGGGCCAACGTGGGCAGAAGTTTGTCTTTGGCTTGCATCGCACTTGCAGTGCTTTCCTTCAAGGCTTGCCAGACTCTCAGGGGATATGGAGGCGACCCACCCCGGTGCCCGACGCTGGGGACACGGATGTTCTGCCCATCAACGTCGCAGCAGTGGCCACTCTTCCTGGGTTGCCCGCCCCACTTCGGCCTATGGTTCAGTCTTTTTCCCTTGGCGCAAACTTCCACTACTGCTGGCGAAAAACCCTGGCTTCGCCCGTGGCCGGGGCTCTTTCCGAGAGGCAGGTTTTAGCTGTACAGTCGACTGGCGCCTGCGCGGAAGACACTCAGCCAATCGGCAACCTCCAGGACGCTCGGGAGGTCCTCAGCGCTAATTTGACTATGCGGGCCACAAAGTTCAGAGAGTGGGTGACATTAAGCCAGACTTGGTCACTGAGGCATGGGCGGTGTTTGGAGAGGCGGCTGCTTGTTCGGCCGTTGACTTTGTCTTTCCCTTCACCCTGATTGGTTTTTCAAAGGCCTGGGAGCAACCCGACCGCTCCAAAAAGGGCGTGGTGCACGCCACGGACGCCGCTTGGGCCCAGGTGGTCCGTGCGGGCTTTGAGCGTGGAATGTTCGTGGCAGTGGACGACCGCGACGTCCCCCGTGACAAGCAGGGCCACCTGATCTTGAATGGTGCAGGATCAGTTCGCAAGGTCAAAACGACAACTGGCGTCAGCCATGAGGTCCAGCGGTTTATTTCCAACCGCGTGCCCATAAACGATTTCTTGCACGAGTTGCTGGGGGATCAGTGCCTTCTACCATACGTGGCCCAGCTCTCTGCACTAGCTCTGGAAGAACAGGACTATATCCTCGTGGATTCGGAAGACCTGACTTCGGCGTTCAACCTGTTTGCTTTGCCCTGCGAGTGAGCCGATTCTTTGCATTTTCCAAGAAGGTGCCTGGCCGCTGCCTGGGTAGCGCCAAGGAGCTTGTCCAACCTGCCTTGCGAGTGATCCCTATGGGGGAGCAGCAGTGTGACAATCATGCAGGTAATTCTGCGCAACCTTGTGTTCACTAAGGCTCAGATCCCCAGAAGCCTGGAAATCAACAAGGTCAAGAAGGTGCCTCGCCGGCATGGAGCCATGCTTTACCTTGACTCCTTTGACAAGGTCCGGGTGCTCAACAGGGCTTGCGTTGATTTGCTCGAGGGCCAGCCCTCGCCCAATCACCAGGCTTTCAAGCAGGCGTGTGAAAGGTACCGGCTGCCTCTCAACAGTGCCAAGAGCCTTGCCGGTGCTGGATCCAGGGAGGAATGCTGGATGGCAAATGGGGGACATTGTCACTCTCCTTGAAAAGTCATCCTTGCCACATTAGGGATGCTGCTGCACCACACTTGGTCCGAGCAGATGCTCCGGCGACGGGTTGGGCTCGCCACCTTTGCGGCGGTGTTCAGGCGGCCCCTTTTCGCCATTTTGGAGGTCGTCTTCCCTCTCATTGAAAAGCTATACGTTTCACTTTCTGCTGCAAGGCTTACCTGCGGAGCAAAGTGTTGCCGCACTTGGTGGCTACGGACGCTTCCTTGTATGGAGGGGAGCTTGCACCGCGCAGGCCCCCAGGCATCCTGAGCCTCCTTCTCCGGTGTCAGATGTAGACATGGAGTGCGCCCACTGCCAAAGCGATTGGAGATGGGAGGCGTGGCGACAGCCGCTCGATTGCCCAGCGCGGTGCGGGCGGAGCTTGTGCTCTTTTGCGTGCTTGCGCCAGCACCGCGCTTATGAGTGCTCGCGGCGCACCTTCATGGTGCCCTCCTTTGTGGAGTTTTTCTCGGGGCCGCATGCCCCGCTGAGTTACGCCATCGCTTTAGAAGGCATTGGAGTGGAGGAGCCTTTTGATTCCATGAGGGACAATGACCAAGATTTTTTCGGCCTTGCGGGCAAGGCGCGCATGGAAGACCTGGAGACCCAGCCTATTGTTGTAGCACGTCACTGGGCCCCTGAGAGCAAATTGCTCAGTTCTGCAAGAGGGCGCCAGGTGCAGCTGGCCTCGGGTAAGTGGATCAATGGGCCACCAGCCGTACGGGACCGACGGCACCCTCTTGGGCTCCCTTGGCCAACGCCCTCGCAGAAATCCGCGGTGAGACGCAGCAACACCATGGCGCAGCGCAGCTTGAAGTTGCTCGCATCGCCGGATGAGCATGTCATTGGGTCCTTGGAACACCCTCGGAATAGCTTCATTTGGGAGTTCGGCGAGGCTTAGAAGGTTCGGGACGACGACCGCTTTTTCATGTCTTGCTTCAGCTTCTGCTGCTTCGGCGGGCCACGCGAGCAGTGGACCGGTCTGCTTCACAACAGCCCGAAACTGCACCGCGCCCTGCACAAACCGGTTTGCCCAGGCCACAGCGGCTTGTTCCACTGTCACGCCTGGTATGAGCGGGACGAACTCATTTTCGCGTCCACGCAGGAAGCCGAGTACCCATGGGAGTTTTGCAGGGCTTACGCGTCTGCTTTGAAAGCAGAACTGCTGGAAAGATATCCTATGGTGCCATCGTCTTTGCGGGACCGCTCCTTGCGTTGGCAGCTTCTTTCGCAGGTGCGCGGCGCTACGCACGGGCTGCGTGCCCAGGAGGTGGCCGAGTCGGTGGTTGACAGCATTTTGCCTATTGCTGGCTCCATTTTCGAAGGTCCAGAGCTGCATTGCAAGTGGCTCCTTTCAAGCGCGCATCGCCGTGGCACAGAGGTTCGCTTCACTACACCGCAGACTTCGGACTCCCTTCGGATGGTTCCGTATCCTGCACATCTTTGGAAGTGGAAAACCGTGGCATGTTACCCGCTTCGTCATGAAGACTCCATCACCACGTTGGAGCTGACTGCTGCCTTTTGTGAAATCAGGCGACACGCACGTTTTTTGCATGGCCAGAACACTCGCTATTTCCATGTCGTTGACTCTTTGCCTACATATTTTGTCCTGGCAAAAGGACGATCCAGCAGTCACCGCCTCAACCGCATCGCACGTCGCATTATGGCAGTCAGCCTCACGGCCAATGTGCAGCCCCTGGTTCTGTGGACACTGTTGGGGTGGAACCCGGCCGACGGGCCCAGCCGCAAACATGCCCCGGTCTACTAGGCTAGGTCATTTGCGATACCAGGGCCTGCGCCACAAAACTGTCTCCGCCTACAAGCGTGCTTTGCGAGTGTTTTTTGCCTACTTGGAGCTTGAAGACCGGCTGTGGCCGAGTTCTACCAAGCTTTTGGATTTCATTCTGGCTGAATTCATTAACGAGCTATTTCAAGAAGGAGAGTCTCCGGCACAGGCAGGCTGTGTCTTATCCGCGCCTGCGGGGGAAACTTTCAACTGCGCAGCAGTATTACAATAACTGGATTCGGGTCCACACCCCTACCCGCGCAGCGCCAATGCCTTGGGTAGTGGTCCGCGCTTTGGCCGAGACCTGTTTGAGGATTGACCTTCCTCGGCTGGCCATTTGTTTCACATTGCAATTTCTTTTTTTTTGCGGTCTTCAGAAATGTACGGGTTGCGGCCCTGTGATATTGCATTGCTCCCCACGCACCACATTGTCATTGCTTTGCCATTTGCAAAAACAAGCCGAGGCAGATTGCAGAGTGTGTCTTTGTGTGATCCCATCTTGGCAAGATGGCTCAATCCCCTCCTTGACTCGTTGCCCAGTGATCGACCAATTTGCCCCTTTCCCCCGCACCGCACCCGAGCAGTTTTCCGGCGGCTCCTCACGTTTCTTCGTTGCAATCACTCTTTTTCCCTTTACAGCTTAAGGCGGGGAGGTGCAACATATCACTGGCAGCGCGCACGAAATTTCGAATCAACCATGATCTTGGGAAGATGGCAAGAGCAACGCACCTGCCGGATCTATCTGGATGAGGCCAGAGCCTTACTCATTCAAGTGGAAGCGTTGGTCTCACGTTCAGAGGTCCTGGTTGCTTTGGCTGATGCTTTTGCCACTAGGGTGGCGAGGTAGGCAAAGCTCTGCTTCTGTAAGTGGGCAATCGCTCCTTCAGGAGGGAAGAGCGGCGCTCATGCTGGCCATCTGCGGGTGAGAACATTCACACAAGGCCCCTGCCAGGAAATCTGCGGTGCTCCGGCGCCGCTCTTGACAGGCATTCGGTCGCCCCCGAGTGAAAAGGCCGGAGCGTGCAAGGCTGGAAAGGGCAAGGAATTGGCAATGGGGCATCTGACTGCGCATGACTTGACATTGCAGGCAGTATCTTCTGGCACGACTTTGCGTAATTTCCAGAGCATTTTGGTTCCTGCCCGACTCCCTCCCAGGCCTCATGTGGGTCATCTCGGCGCTCATGCTGGCCATCTGCGGGTGAGAACATTCACAAGGACCGCCTGCGGGTGGGAGCATATTGCAAGGGTACCCTCTGCGGAGGCGTCTTTTGGCCCTATTTTGCAGGGAGACTTTTTCCAAGCACCGTCTTGGCCCCTGCCAGGAAATCTGCGGTGCTCCGGCGCCGCTCTTGACAGGCATTCGGTCGCCTCCGAGTGAAAAGGCCGGAGCGTGCAAGGCTGGAAAGGGCAAGGGAGTTGCCAAAATATATGAGCGTCCTCGTTGGCAGAGCGTTGTCATTGAGGTAGGCGATGAGGTGAGATTGGAAGGGCAGCGCTGAGCAACTTATGGCCGGGCGTTTGCAGCCATTTCAGCATTTCAGCAAGATCGAGAAGCGAGTCCCCTTTTGCGTTCCCGCATTTCAGGACGGATGCGGAAGGAAGCAAGGGATGTCTTTCTTGCCTCGCGCGCCGCCCTTGCTCGCAGGACCTGGCACTCCATGGCTTCATCGGCGGCGGGCAAGGGCTGTGCAAAAGTTCTGGCTCGACCTCATCTTGGGCGGCAAGAAGAAGATGCCATGGCTCTGGAGCGCCACTGCGCGGCGGCGCTGCTCGCGGCTTCGGCTTGGGAAGCTGTCGCGTTCTACGCGGCCATGCCCACCTCTGCCAAAGAAATCGCGGAGCGCTGCGGTAAGGACGCTGTGGGCGACGGCCGGCGCGCGGCCCGCCTGGTGGCCGACGCTCAAGGCGCTAGCGCTGCACTTGCAGCTGGGCTGTCGGCCAAGCGTGCGGGCTACAGGCCTGGCGATACCCGCACCACACCCCACACCCCACACCCCACACTTCACACCCCACACCCCACACCCCACACCCCACACCCCACACCCCACCCCACCCCACACCCCACACCCCACACCCCACACCCCACACCCCACACCCCACACCCCACACCCCACACCCCACACCCCACACCCCACACCCCACCCCACTCCCACCCAACCCCACCCCACCCCATCCCACCCCACCCCACCCCCACACAGCCACGCAGCGCACGCAGCCCACGCAGCACACATCGCACGCAGCACACGCAGCGCACGCAGGACACGCAGCGCACGCAGCGCCGCAGCACACGCAGCACACGCAGCACGCAGCACACACAGCGCACGCAGCGCACGCAGCGCACGCAGCACACGCAGCGCCGCAGGACACGCAGCACACGCAGAAAACGCAGCGCACGCAGCACACGCTGCACTTGCAGCACTTGCAGCACACGCAGCGCACGCAGCGTACGCAGCACACACACACAGCACAGGCAGCACAGGCAGCACACGCAGCACACGCAGCGCACGCAGCACACGCAGCGCACGCAGCGCACGCAGCACACGCACACGCACACACACACACACACACACAGGCAGGCAGGCAGGCGGGCGGGCAGGCAGGCAGGCAGGCAGGCAGGCAGGCAGGCACGCAGGCACGCAGGCACGCAGGCACGCAGGCACGCAGGCACGCAGGCAGGCACGCAGGCACGCAGGCACGCAGGCAGGCAGGCAGGCACGCACGCACGCACGCACGCACGCACAAGCGCGCACGCGCGCAAGCACGCCCACGCTCGCATGCACAAGCGCGCACGCGCGCAAGCACGCCCACGCCCACGCCCACGCCCACACTCACACACGCCAGCGCAAATTTGCAGACGCAAACACACGCAAACACGAAATCAAGCACAAGGACAAAGATGAACACGACCACAAACACCAACACAACCACAAACACAATCGCGATCACAAGCATAAACACAAAGACAAAGACAAGGAGACAAACACAAACAGGATCTCAGACACACCCACATGCCTACACACACACACACACCCGTCCGCACACACACACACAGACACAGACACAGACACAGATGCTTGAAGCATTGCGAGGGAACAAGTTGGAAACTCGGAAAAATCAACCATGGTTTGTGGTCGGTTCATTTGCACTATTTCGGGCATCCGTGCAAGTGGAAAGCCTAGGCTACGCCACTGGCAAGGTGCGCTGGCTGGAGGACGTGGCCGGCGAGCCCGGTCCCGAGGCGAGCGGCGCGGCGCCGTTTTGGCAAGTCCAAAGGGGGTTGCCCAATAAATGCACCCACGGTTTTCCTTTCAACCAAGGAAGGGAGGTAGGACAGAATCCGGTTCGCGCCAGTTCGTAAGTGGTTTGTCCAAGCATTCAGAGGGCTTGGTGCAGGACTTTGTCCATTCACAATGTGGCCCCTTTCTTGGCTTTCTTTGCTCGGTTTTGAAAAAAGACCAAAAGAAAGCGGATTGAAGGAAACCAACTGTAAAACCGAAATCCGTTGTCGGGGGTTCGAGTCCGTATTGTCCGTATTTAGCAGTATCAGGATGACACATACCCACACACCCTCAAGCAAACATGGCTCGGCCTTAATGGAATGTAGTTTTTTGTTCGGCTGGCTTACTTGCGATATTCGGAGGATCACCCCCAATGCTTGTATCACCGTTTGTTCGACGGGAATCTCCAGTGAATCTTGTTGAACACAAATTGTTTTCCCAACACATAACCAACACAATTCTTCTTTTGCAAGATGCCACCGGCCAATTCGTACGTTAACCCCTCACGGTTAAACGTTTGAGCCATTGATCCCGGGTTGCTGTTGAGCTGAGATTCCTTTGATGGCCACCCCCCGATGATTCATTGACATGAGTTGCCCCTTCCGGGAGAGCCCATGAGTTTAGAAGCAAAATGCTCACTACCTTGTGGTGGGATGGTCATTAGACTTGTCACCAATGAAATTCAGGCACAATCGCGCGTAGGGTTCCATGTAGGAAAGAAAGGAACAACTTCAGGGGGATCCATGTTTGAGTTCAGAAAGAATCAGTCAGCCCCCAAATCTCTCGTTCGAGCTTGAATCTCTTCAAGCATTCCACCCCGAATCTTTGGACATTTGCCTGTAATTCTTCAACCTTGCTCACTTTGAGCCTTTCTTACGTGAAAACTTGCCAACCTTCACCAACTATTGGTTCGCGCACAAAGTTTAGCAGATCAGTTTTGGCTTGGCCTTGCAACACAAGTCGTTCCTAGAGGGCAACGGCAAGAGGCATGGGACGGCCCATCGTGGTGATTGAACGCGCCTTGTGTAGAGTGACCCTTCAACGGGCTTCCTCTCTATGTCATGATTGCTTGAAGAACGCGCAGCCCTACTTACCATTGGGGGGGTCACGGGAAGAAAATCCTGGCCGTCCGTCCGCCCTTTTTCCGCTCTATTTGGCTTTTAACGCGTGCTTCCCTCTACAATAGGCGGCAAATGTAATCACTGGCACTGCTCGGCTATCTATGGGCTCGCCCCACCCAACACGAGGGTACGTGCCACAGACTCGGAGCTCCTTTTGGGAATTTGGACAATGGCTATGGATTTATTGGGAACTACCTCACAAAGGGTTGGCGGACAAAACTTTTCACCATGAAATTTCACCCCCAAACGGACACGAACTTTAGGAGCTTGCTTCCCAAGTCTCACATTGTATCGTCAGATCCACTTCCTGGTCCAAATTCCAAGTGTCCAGTGGCGATTTCCACATGGGATGATTCTAGTCCCCTTTCAGAGATCTGAAAAGGGAGTCCTCCAATCTGCATCTTGCGACCGCCTTGTTTGAGTCGACGGCGCTTCCTTGCAGGCGGCCGCCGAGACGCCTTCGCCGCACCCCTCGGCGGCGCGCCTGCGGAACGCGGTGCAGTCGCTGCTGCAGAAGCTGCCCGAAGAGGCGCGGGGGTTGAACCCCGAGTCCGTGGCTCTGGACACATTATGGTTGTCAAAACGTACCAGTTTTTGACCTATGGCAGTATGAGTCACAATCAACACCCGGGTAGATGAAGGTTAGTAAGGGCCGATCCCAACCATAGATAGGTGCGGCCGCCTTTTTAAACCTTTACATGGGGTTGGGTTCTCCATTTTTGTACCGGGATTTGACTATGACTCACATGGGGGTTGATGGGGGAAAACCACTACAGTAAAAATATTATAGTTGCCACTAAATGGGAAAAGTTATCTATGGTCATTTCGGGGCCATGGATATTGATCAACCCCCACATTGGAGTTTAGGTTGCCATTTTTCTGCACCAAGATCCACCCCTTGGAAGAACGAACCTTTTGATTGGTTCCCAACCCAATGACTGCTACTACCCTTCAGGCTCCCTAGATGGGGATCTTATGCGCTTTGAATAGCAGAACCTCAACAACAATTGCGTTCGACAGTTGCAGTCTACGGAACCTTGAAGCTACAACCCGACAGCTCTCCTTTGACAACCTTTTGAACACGCCAAACCCTGAAGTAATTTTCATCAGAGCACACAGCTCCAGCAGTTGCTTGCTGGGTCGGGTGGCAAGGCTGACTTGTCATCGCAAAATCAGCGCAGATTGCACCAGGATCAACCCTATCTTACCTAGGAGAAGGTTCTTTCCATATTATATTTTTTGCCACCCTTGAGCAGCAACGCAGCACAGATTGTTCCGCTCAAAACCCTGCAAGGACTTGCCACTGGGCCGCAAACAAGTGGAAGGACACCAGTCAATCTTTCTCTCAGACTGATGGATCCCTTGTTGGGCTTGCCCCCAGACCAAGAACGTGCGCCAACATGTTCCACAAGTTCTAGATGTGGTTCTAGCTGTTCAATTGGTGGAGCTGCCTGTCTTTCCTCAGAATAACACACTTGACACCCCAGTTGTTCAGTGACCCTACCCAGCGACCGGACCCTTTTGATTTGCCAGTTGAAGTTGCTGTCCGAATGACGGCAATACGTTGCCCAACGTCCCATGGCCACCAGAGGGAAACATGGAACACAAGGGCCCTAGGTCCCTGGATCACAAGTTGGCAACTAGACAGTCATGATGAACGGAGTGATGGTTGAGATGGCCGTGCAGGGAACAGCTGACACTACAATCGCCAACTGCTTGGCGCATGGTTAACCCGGGCAGATTTCTCTTCCTCTCTTGTTGGATTCAAGCAACTGTGGGGCTGGGCACAACTGCTACCTAGGCTACGATCAAATGTATCGCCTATTCACAGAAATCCCTAAATTTCCCCTGTTGGTGGTGGTTTCGAACATCGCCTTTTGGGCCAATTTGGAGTGAGTTTCGTTTTGGTAGATGTTTCAAGTTTTGGGGAACTCTGTTGCGGTGATTACAATTTGAGGGCTTTTGCCAGGTGATGCCCTCGCTCGAGCAGCAGCTGCCCGGCGAATCGCGGGTTTTTTCCCCCTTACCCCGCAAGTCAACATGAAACCAAAAAGGGGCCTCCCTAAAAGGAGATTCCTCTAGTTGTCTTCCCTTTTTAATTTTTATTCCATGTTTAACTGCAGAAGAGTAACGGGGCAACAAGGGCCATATACAGATGAACCCAACAATGATGAACAAATACAGATCACTTTTCACTTCTTTCTTCATGCGGACAGGCGGTCATACCCTCACTCATCCGCTTCCCCAAGCAAAAGATACAGAACTGACAGGCAAGTGGACGATATTCAACGAATAACTTGAAACAAATCACAACACATAGTAGATTATAAACAAGTGAGTGTCCTGGAGAGACAAAATGCTTCTGGGATCGTTTCTTCCTTGTCAGGCAATGGTCAATAGTTCTTGGTGACAGACCGTTGTATGTAGAATCCTTGACATTTTTTGGCTTCTTTCTGATAACTTTTCCTTATATCTGTTCCGTTTCTACTTCCATCTTTACAATATGAAGAGACGAGAGGAAAGAAACTCTATCTCTCATTGTCTTCCTTCTGATATTTATTGTTTGTAGACTCCTTATCTTGGAAGAGTTGAAAGGATGGGGGACAGATGGAGCGAGAACAGTGAGGACCTTCGTGCACAGACATGCCAACAGGATTAACCCGCTGTATGGACGAAGCGGATAGAATTCTGTCCATCCTTCTCTCGCCAGTCTTGGATGTGACCGAGAGAAAGAGAAAGGTTCTCCCTCCGAACCAAGACAATTGTTAAACTGATTGCATCTCAAAAACCTTCTCAATGTGTGAGCGTGGCCGTGAGTTCATCCGCTCGTCCTTTGTCTCACAGAAGCACCTGGTCATCTCTCCCCCGCATTGCGTCCGTTCCGATCCGTCAGGATCTTTCTCTGTGGCGAGAGGACATGTGAGAAAGAGATGTGAGAAGAGAAAGACGCCTCACCATCTAGCTCTTCATTCCCATCTCCATATTTGTTGAGGGTTATGAGGAAGGAGATGGGTGAACATGATGTCCCTTCCTGGCACATCTTAATAAAAGGGAATAAGGAATATTATCTCTTTTTTCCATCTTGTACCCTCACCAATTTATAGTTGATAGACGGTGCGGGTTGATATGAGAACTTGTTTTATTGGCGGCCGCTTGTTAGACCCAACCAAGAGGTAAATATAGAGGTCAGAAAAGGCAAGGTGACGTCTTCTCTTGATTCTCCATTTTGTTCAATCGGTAGTTTGTTGTAGGAAATCTGGGCCATTCCCGAAGACTTGGATAGCCAAAGTGGCTCGAGAGCTATGAGGCAAGCACCTTTGTATCCAGCCGAGAGTTGACCGTCAAGTGTGGAGACAGGCATGTGCATGCCGGCGTGAGGTACTCTCATGCACTAGCCGAGTGGGAATGCTCAGTTACCCCTTTCACAAACTGGAAAATGCCGTTTTAAGTATCTTTTTGAAAGTAAATCCAGAGCCAACGAGTACCCGCCCAACTCTGGCAATTCACAATGGTGGTTTCAGGTTCCAGAAGGTTTGCGAGAGTGTCGGCACCGCGGTCCCTGAAGCATGAGCCCGCACCACATGTGCCATATTCATAGGCAACTTGCTTGTTTTGCTTGTTTTGCTTGTTTTGCTTGTTTGCTTGCGTGCTTCTATGTTTGCTTACTTGTTTGTTTGATTGCTTGCTTGTTTGCTGGCTGGAGGGCCGGTCTGTGGGTTGCTTGTTGGCTGGCTTTTTGATTGGCTTGTTTGGCTTTGTCTGTTGAATAAGCATTTGTTCTGCTTTTAGGCTGTTCTGCTTGTTTGATTGTTTTTCAGGTTTGTTAGGATTGCTACGTTTTGCGGATTTGTTAGGCTTGTTAGGTTTGTCGTCTGGCTTACTCCGCGTATTTGTTGCTTTGTTCATTTCTTTTTTGCCTTTTTTGCTTGTTTGTTTGTTTGTTTATTTGTTTGTTTATTTGTTTGTTTGTTTGTTTCTTTGCCTGCCTGCTTGCTTGCTTGCCTCTTCAGGTGTGTGTCAAAATAGGCGCACTCACGCACGCGCACACAGACACACAGCGAGAGCGCACGCACACGCACACCCGTTGCTCAGTCTGCTCTCTCGAGGCTGGGCCCGATGCCGCCGGCGGACGGGAAGGACGGCTTCTGCTGCCCCAACTTCATCTTCTGGTGCATGGGCATCCCGGCGAAACGCCCAGACTTCCTGTGGGTTGCATTTCATGTTCGTCTTTCCTTTTGGAAGTATTGCGAAGTGTTCTTCCGGTAAGCCACGGAAACCTTCAAATTATTTAAAGGCAAGGCTGGAAGGCATAAGAACCGGCACTCACTTGTCTGTTGCCAAGATGGATAGTGGGTTCAAAGGTTCGTACTTTGCGCAGGCAACAGGCAAGTGAAAAGAAGCTTCGAATCCGTCCTCTCCTGATGGTCTCGCCAATCACTGCGAAGAATGAAGGAAGGCCCCCCCGTATTCCAGCTGGGAAGACCGCTTTCCAGACAATGGCGAGGAATGATCCGAAGCTTAACGTGAAGGGGTTCCTCTACTTTCCATAATGATAATGCATTGCCTTAAACCATATATATATATGTATATATATATATATATATATGTGTATATATGCAAAGTTCGCTCAAACCAAACAATTATTGCAACAATCAAGTTGCGAAATCGCATCGAATTTGCTGACACCTTTCCATACCATTGGGGAGAGGCTTTGGGAGAAGTCTCATCGATTGCTTTGTTTAGGATTAAACACATGCCCGTAGCCATATTGCATCATCTAGGTTGTGACTCAGGTTTAAACAATGGCCCGCAATTCGTGCTTTCTTATCCACTTTGTTGTCTCCACCTTGCATTTTCCGATTTGCTGCGATGGGTGTGCACACACGGCGGAAGCTGCGCATACTGATTGTCTTAGTAGCCTTGTTTGTTTTTGTTTGTCTGTCTTTGTCGCTGAGGTTCGGTCAAGATGTCCAGTAGTCTGTGGTCCATTTCGGAGGGACGTGGGGGACTCACCAAGTTTACCCACAAACACCAGGGAACTCACTCATTTCCTCATATCCCCCTTGGGGGAACAAGTAGTTATAGAACAGCGTTGCATAACCCCCCCATCAAGAAAGGAAACCCGAGAAGGGCGCACTCCAAACACGCGCACGCGCTGCACGCGGCCGGTCGATCCGCGTTGATCCGAGCCGAGGCCTGGCGAGTCTGCCGCCGCGGCTGTGCTACGAGCTGTGCTTCGGGGACGCCTTCCGCCAGGACGCGGAGAAGCGGCGGCTCGGGCGACGTGAGCCGCGACGCGAAGGGGGCCTCGTTGCACTTCATTTCGCTAACGGGGGCGATCAATGGCCCGAACTGGCCCAAAATCTGACAAGGCCCTTCAGGTTTATCAGGGGGTCCCGTTCAGTGGATCATCCGCTGCTTCGTATGATTTTAACATTACAACCCGTTGCGTAAAGAGTGACGAAGGTCCGTCTCTACATTAGCAACGCTCCTCTGAATCAAAAGGGTTCTGGAGAGGTCTCATATTGCTTTCCTTCCGGCTTGGTCCATTTGGTGGGATCCCCTCGGGTGCTTCCTTCGTTGGGGGACCGGTTTTCTTGGAAACCACAGGGAAACAACGCATTCCAGGGATGAGCTAAATTTAGTTGATGTCATGTTCGAATGGGAAAAGCAAGAACTCTGTGCCACGCATTGCACAGCACTGCTGGGGGAGATTTGGAAGTAAGATTAGCGAGCGGATTGATGGGGAGGTTGGGACACATTGACAGTAGGTTTGGGCTCTCCAGCACTTGAAATGTGCTGTGTTCCTCCTTCCCTTCGGGAGGGAGATTGGAGATGGGCACCGGTGCAGGGGCGCAGGAAGCAAAACTTGGCCACCGACCGGCAACACCTTCTCCCCTTGGTGGGGCCTTTTGTATGTCACACCGCTTTTTGTCAGGGGGGAGATTTGTCGATTCACAGGATCCAAGCTGCCGACTGAGGCTAACCACCATCCTCGAGGTCTTCGCCGCTCGGAAAGTCACTTGGGGCTGGCAGGGTCCATTTCCGCCAGATGTCGGAGTTTCATGCAACACCAGTTGAGTTCCAGACATTGAAGGCCGCCAAGGATTCCTGGTTTGATACCGCCGACTGCCCTTGGGATGTTTGCGTAACGACACATCCGTGACGATTTTCTCCCCGGCGTAGGAGAAGAAGATCCGCCTGGCGAAGGAACGCGAGGCTGGCCATGTGATAGGCTTTAACCCAAAGCATACGCACGAACACACACAGACACACTTAGTAGACACAACAAACTTTTCTGTGTATATCATATTATGTGTTACCAGCTTGAACCCGGCCCTGCGCCTTCCTGCCCCCTTGCAGTCTATCCCACGTCAATTTATGGCTTGACACTTGAGGCGATTCAAGGTGAGGCACGAGCGGCAAGTTGTGGGAGGCAGGAGGGTGCGTAGTTTAGATTTTGCCGTTACAAAAAATAGCGCGAAACGAATCACCTCCAGCATCACCAGCGCATGAGTGAAGCAAACGCTTTTCCGCCGACTAGAAGTTTCCAAGTTGAGACGAATCAAGGTGAGCACGGGCGTGGCAAGGTGTGGGAGGCAGACTCGTTTGTAGTTGCTTACTCTCTGAAGAAACGTAGAAGTGGCTTCTAGACGCGAGTTTTCAAAGTGATTCGACGCCATCAAAGCTCTTTACAAAACCAATTGTGACAATGGCATCTTGGAAGCCCGGCATGACTGTTGCATGTCTTGTTGACCAAAGTGGCCGGCGGCGCCAAGCGGCCGCTTATCTTGCGCTTGCGTCAGTAAGCTGAAGTGGTGGGTGACACCCCCAGCATTAACAGTGCCTTAGAGGCTTTCTTTTCCGCGGGGTAAAAGTAGATGTCGTGGTTTCAACATCCCAAACTCGACTATCGAGAGTCGTTCGGCCGTCAAGTTCTGTCCAGAGGGAGTTACTAAAATGCACTTTTTGAGCTTGACACAAGTTGGTCTGCTTTGGATAGATTTTGTTGACTAAAGTGCCCGATACCCCACCAGCACCCGTGCTTTAGTAAAGGAAGTGCTCTTCCGCTCACCAAAAGTAGGGGGCTGCCAAACTACAACTTGAAACGTATACACTTAGATGTCGCGATAGCCCGTAAGCTGACATGGTTGATTTTTTTCCCAGCATCGCCAGCGTTTAAATCAAGACACTGCTTTTGAGCTTGCAAACTCGACATGACTCGGTCTGCTTTGGTTTGTATTTGCTGACTAAGGTGGTCGACACCCCCCCGGCATCGCCGGTGCTTTCAAAAAGGAAACCGCTGTTCCGCTCGCTAAAAGTACATGTCGCCACAGTCAGCGAGCTAAGCTCGTCGAAGCCCCTAGCATCACCAGTGCTTTAATTAAGAAAACACTTTTCCGCTTACTCAAAAAAGTGCCCGACGACTGCTGAACATACGGAAATCCTCTTGCGCCTGCTTAAAGTAGATGTCTCGATAGTTCGTCAGCTAAAGTGGTCGACCCCCTCAGCAGCATCGCCCGTGTTCTATACAGGAAATGCTACTACACTTACCAAAAGCACGCACGGCCCTGTCAACATCGCCAAAGCTTACATCAACTGGAGCCTGGAAGAAGTAGGTTGATCCACTTAGCTGGAAGTCGACGAAAGGTCCCTCGGAAAATGAAAGCTGAATCTTGAGCCGATTTCAGAATCCAGGCTTGAGCCAGTCGCACAGCACACATACACACGTACAAACACACTCAGCGGTGTGTCATTTGCAGCAGCACCCTGTTTTGGAATCCTTTTCAAGTCGACCAACATGGGTCCAAGCTGGTTTTGCCTCTCCTTCCCACGTGAAGTCAAGGCCACTTCCAAGAAATGCCGCACATCTCGGCCTTTCCGAATGCACCGGTTTAGGCCGCTGGAGCAACCTTGGACAAGGTGTCTTTTGGGCGGGCAACGCACATGGCTTTTGGGTCCTTTGTGTTCTCTCAATTTTACATCAAAAAGGGCTTGTCTTAGGTGCCAGGGAGCTTTCAAGGGTGCCTGGGTTCCTTACTCAGGGTGAATCTCTCAGAGACACATCTTCACGCTCGGTGCGATGTGATAAAATGACCTTTCCGCTTTCTCCGCCGAATCCTAGCGAGCAAAGACTGATTGTATACTCGACATCTGGGCGAAGGCCATTGATTGTGTGAGATTGCACACTGCTCAGCGCATCAAAGGTGTCATGATCCACAGTTTCTCTACCCGTAGAATAGAAGCCAAAAGCATTGCAAGCAAAATCAATTTTGGGGGGCGAGTGCGCCAGGAGCCCTCGCCGTCTCCAGAAGCGCCCCACTCGCCGGATGCATCGGAAGCGGAGGGCGAGTAATGGGTCTGTTGAGCTCATGGCAGCTGTGTCCAAGGAAGAAAAGGACCCCCTTTCTTTTCAACCACAAAAAAGGGATATATGATATCCTGGTTTTTGAGCAAGGGGGTGTCCTTTTTTTCTTGTCCTGGCCGCACAAGTGCGGCTGTCTCTCGCACTCCCTAAGTTTTCGCGCGCCGAGGGGACGAAGCTCGACTGTGGGCCGCCTCTCGTTGGACCCCCCTCGCCTCTTCCAGGGTCTGCGCGCCTTGTTCCCGATTCAAGCGAGGGCCATACGTGTCCTTTCGGCTCAAAAACACCATTGCCACCTATTCCTCCCAAAGGACATCCGCGGCCATTGCTGATGAGCCAAAGGGCGTCGAAATGCTGTGAGATGCATACAGTGCCAAAGCCGAACCTTTCGGACAGTCGGACAGGTGGGAAAGAGACAGAAGGGTCTGCGTTGGGGCGTGCGCAAGGACATGACAAGAACCAGGTGTCTCCTAAGAGGCGACCTCCACCAAGGTCAATGCTTTCCGTTGTCGTTAAAACTTACCATCCAAGAATCACGTTTTGTTTTAGGATCCCCCCCCCCCCTCCATGGCTTTTTTTTGGCAGACAGCGCCGTACACGTTTTGCCTCTCGCCGTTCTCGCGCACTGCACAACATCTGGGCCCCGGGGTGGGGATGGACCTCGCGCGGCACTTGGTGGGCGTTTCCAAGCCGGGCTCTCGGGATTCCATGCTTACCCTTTCGGGCTTTTTGGGAGCTCATGCCACAGAGGCCCAGGCGATTTTTTTGCCCGCAAGCCGTCATGGAAAACGAACGGAGTTCCCTGTTTTGGATTCTTTTGGCTCGTTTTTGCAGGCTCCATGTGAGCCTTGCAGGTGAGAATCATGTTCAATTTGTGCATCCGCTCTCAAGGTGTTCGCCGGCTCAAAACCGTCAGAGCGGGCCTGCAAATGCCGGGACCCTCACAACCCACTTGCCACTTCATCTCGTGAGGTGAACTCAGCCTATCCAGCCACCTCAAGCAAGCCATTGCTCATGCGTTACACGGCCTTCCGACTTCCAGCCGGTTCCCTGGCGGCCTTCATTTATGATAAAGGCCTAGCGGGCAGTTCGAGACAAAGGAGGCCAGTTGGAGGGAGGGAGGATATGGCGATGTGGAGAGCCCTGCGAATCTCTTTCAACCTGTTCTGAACGGTTTGCGACCCAGACTCCAAGCCAGCTTTGTCTTGGATTATATGGTGAGGTTCTCAAAACTGGACCCTTTTAGTTGGACACCAACCATTTGAGGGGACCACTATTTTGAGAAGCCCCACATGAGCGCCTGGTATGAGTCGTTGCTTTTCGAGGTTTATTTGGCTACAGCCCAAGATGACTCGCGCAGGCGCTTCGCAATGCCACACAGGCAGGCCTCTGGGTGGGAGGTGGAGCTTGGTTCGGGTTGAGCGAGGTGCGTGCCTTGTGGGGTTGGTTTAAAGAAACAGCCAACAGAAGAATGGCCATGGGGGCTCCGTCTTTTGAGACATCCCATCTCCTTAAGCTTTTGGAAAACAGGTTCCCCACATGGCGAAACCATCAGTTTGACCAGGAAACGTCAGTGGAGTTCTAAGTGTTTACACCGTCTCCTGCATTCAATGAAGCCGCTTGGAGTAATCTGCCCTTTGTTTACTTGGGGGATGTTCCATTTTGGAAGGCATGTGCATCACCTTTTGGGAAGCAACGCCTATAAGTTCGCCGATTCGGTGGATTCCTTTTTGCATGCAAGTTCCAGTCCCTAAGTGCGCGAAACAGGCTTGCATCAAGGGCTGCTTGGGCTAGCTGCTAAACCATTAGGGTGTGAGGCCTGCTTGCAACGTGGATTCCTTTTTGCATGCAAGTTCCAGTCCCTAAGTGCGCGAAACAGGCTTGCATCAAGGGCTGCTTGGGCTAGCTGCTAAACCATTAGGGTGTGAGGCCTGCTTGCAACGTGGATTCCTTTTTGCATGCAAGTTCCAGTCCCTAAGTGCGCGAAACAGGCTTGCATCAAGGGCTGCTTGGGCTAGCTGCTAAACCATTAGGGTGTGAGGCCTGCTTGCAACTTCAAGCTTGTGGCGCCGTGTGGGACCCACACGGTCTCCGGCGGGCAGGTTTCCTTCCATCTGGATCTCCGTCAGCCTTTTCAGTACCGGATGAGTCGGTGGCGTCTTTCACAGAAGTGAACACACGTGGGGTACCCTCCAAACACAATGGAGGTCGCCAGAAACAGAGCCCCGAGCGCCGAGGCAGGATTGGTACGAGGACCTTCAAGCAGCTGGCCCCAGACGATTGCTTGGATTGCCAGGGTTGGGCGAATCCCCTTTTTGTGAATCCGTGCTTAAAGGACTATCGATACCTCTAGAAGCCATGAATGCACCTTTAGGTCCCAGTTGTGTTGGGAGTTGTACCGCTTACTATTAAACACTTGGCGCTGCTTTGAACTCAGGATTAAGGTTTCGTTGCCGAGGTAAGAATGGATGCAACCATCAACTGTTGCCACCCAAGGTCCCGGAGTATCAACAAAAACGCAGGGCCCAAACCGATAGTCAAAAAGATAGCCAACCGATAGCCGATTCACTAGCCACCAAGCCCACGCCAGGCAATTGCTCAGTAGCATGTCGTGTCTTTGATGTCCAATTTGTACTGGTGCTTCGTAGACTGCAATGGCGTCCAGTTCGGTGGCAGCGGTCCAGAAGGTGGACACGTCAACAACTTAAAGCACCCTAAACAAGGAACACCGATACCAACCGATACTGAGGCGTAAGGTTACAAAGGTTGTCCGTGTGTTCAACCAAGATGTTTTCCCACGGGGGGCCAATGGTGGGGTTCGACAAGAAGCTGCTTTGCTTGTGTGTTGCCTGTGTTTCAGGCACGTCCTTTAGGTGTCAGGGCACGTGGAGCACTGCAGACAGTCTTTCAGGCATCCATGTCTTCAACAAACCAAAACGAGGGAGTTCAGTTCTGATTGCGCGGCCAGACTTGCAGTGCCACGCGCGAGCAACATGCGCACATCTGTTTGCAACACAGCGGCGAATTTGCGAATTCGTGACATGAAAAGCGATTGATTGCTGGCCAACACGCCAACTTGCGAGAAATGAAGAGCGGATGAGCCCGTCCCTCGCCAAATGAACATGATAGCGATCTCTCTTCGACAGCGCAATGATGTGAATTGCTGGATTCTAGAAGAGCCAGCCCCTTCACCCCCGCACAAAGCGCCGAGCATTTGGCTCCAGGGTGAGGCTTTCAGGATATGGACAACGAGAAAAAATGACTCTCCTGCCATTTGAGGCGGGACACAAAGCGCACACCGACCGAGCAGTGAGCCAAATGTAGCATGAAGCGCTGAAGCGAAAAAGAGCACCAACAGAGCACGGCTATCGCTTGAAGCCGGACGCCGCAGCCATGAAGCACCGCTTCGACCTGTATGTCAGGCAGGGAGGGGGAAGCCGCTGGTCGGAAGCCGAGATGGAGGGCAGAAATGGTTGTGTTCTCCCTTTCTAGCTTATCATGCTCTTGCAATTTTTAAGGCATCACCGCTGGAATTTTGATGCGAAGCACGAGTCACACATCATAGTGGACAACTCATTGCGCTACCGGCGACAGATTCAGGAAGGCCTAACAACCAATGTGACGAAAGGATGCAATATGCCCTTCGTTTGTTTTGCCGAACTGCGCCCATGAGAAAATCAATCACGAGTCAAACCAAACGCCCGGCTCCAGTACGTGTGCTGCAAAATGCACGTACCGCCCAAAAACCAATGATCTGCTGAGATTCATAGGGCAGTCCACCGGCAAGCTCAGGCTAGCTCACAATTTGTGTCTTGACCACGTGGCAATCTCCAAGATCGGCTAGTCGCGACGTCGGATTTGGGCGTTCTTTTCGATGGTTTGTTTCAAGGGAAGATGAACACCGTTCCGATGTTTTAAGTTCGACCTCCCCTTTGGCACACGGGCCAGCCGCTCGCCTGCAGATATACGGTGGAGATCGACTTGCCCAGCCCCGTGAACACCTTAGATGCGCTCAACGGGGTGGCGAATCGAGAGTTCGGGTACATCCTCAGGCGCCCGGCGGTCGCACGGTGGACTCGGCCTCCTGTCGCGGGGGGCACTGTGTATGAGCCAACAGAAGGCTCTCGCTCGGGTTTTTGCTTTCCCCGGGCTGCCCTTTTTAGGTCGATTTCAAGGGAAGCACAAAAGGACGAGCACGTTTTCGGAGTTCCCTAGTTTGCCCACGGGGAGTGGCTGGCTTTGGGTAGCTTGATTTGCGCCTGCTCACAGTCAGCTGCTCAGATCTGCGCGCTCTGGTGGCTTACTGCAGAGGAAACCCTAGCCCCGAGAAAGGTTCTAACAATCCGTCTACGAGCACATTCTATTGCTACACAGGTTCTATTAATCTTTCCTGGAGGGGGAGCCTTTGGTTTCCTCCCTACCAATGCAAACCGATTTGGGGCTGCGTAAGTCCAGCATCCGCAGTCACAAACTGCCCGCTTTGAGTGCGATGGGAGCCGAAAGGTGAGGGCAAGGTTGCCTTCCTTTGGGAAAGCGGAGGATTTGCTACCGAACATGGCTCAAGGCGACATGGCTCAAGGCGGGTTTCGTTTTTGGAGGATTGTCCCTTGGTTCCGCTCCGCGACACAAGTCGCAATCAAGACTCGGGCAATTGGAAGGGAGCAAGGGGTCGTCGCCACACATTTGGTGCTTCATCGCCTTTGCGACGTATTTCCACGGTTCTGGGATGACGTCCATTTGGAAAATCCGGGTTTTGATGGTGACCCATGAGACAAGGCAGGCCACCCCCCCCCCCAACCCCAACCCACCCCCGGCGGCTCGCGAGCCGCCAGGGAGTTCACGAAGCTTCAGCTCTACGGGTGCTCCGGGCCCCCCGCCGCCGGCTGGAGCAGCCAAGTGGTGGCGCAGCTCCGCGGTGACCAGGCCGCGGTGGCTTGGAGTTCGGGGAGAGGGGGGGAGAGGGGGGTGGGGTTTGGTGTGAGTGTGTGTGTGCGTGTGTGCTTTGTTTTTGTTTTTTTGCAGGCGTTTGTTGGTTTTGTTGGTTTTTGCTCGGCGGGTTTTGGTGGGGGTGGGGTGGGTGCGCATTTTTTTGGGGGTGGGGGGGGGGGGTTTGGGGAGGAGTTCATTGGGCAATAAACGTTTTGAGTCTATTTTGCAGGCCCAAACCCGACACAACACCTGTTGCAAGAGTGTCCTCCGCAAGCGGGCGTGGGGCCGGGGTCCCAAAAAAAAGGGCCAATCTTTAAAGAAAGCAGCCGCCCCCGGCAACATTTTCCCCGTGCGCACGGCGGATCCCTCGCTTGCTCCCAGGTCTTCGGACCCATTTTGATGCTTCGCAAACTGGGCCCCTTCCTAGTCGGGCCATGGGAAAGAACCCCATTGTTTCGAGGGGGCTCCTATGGGCATGCGTCAACATGCGGGGGGGCATCCGTCATACGACTCTCGAATGGGTGGCTTCCCTTTGGTTTCTGCTTGAACTCGCGAGCCACGACCATCGCCAGGACCTGCAGCAGTACCTCACCAAGATGCCGCCCAATGGCCCCGTGTATGAGGTTCACCTGCCTGATGGCATGGACGCCGCCCAGTGGTACCAGAGCGCCTCACGCGAAAACTGGGGGGGGCTCAAACGTCGTGATTTCCGGAGAAGCTCCACTGTGAGGTCCATTGAAGGGCAGGAGGGGATGTTCAACATGTTCTACTTGCAGATGGTCAACAACAAATGAAGTGCAATAGTCAACCACCCAAAGCCAAGAACCAGTATATTCAAATCACACATTGTCAAAAAGTAGTCCACGCTCAATTATTGGTCCACCAGCCCTTTGAGCAAGCGCACGTTTGGGTTGCAGCTGACCCAGCGTCCATAGAGCCTTTTGTTATAGTCCGTCAGTTTCTTCCAAAGCGTGGGCGTGCCACACGCAACAATTGCGCTACCAGCCAGTTCTGTAGGTAAGAAGATCACAACTGCCTCGATTTGGGCTGACCTAGGGGTGGTTGCCCCACTTATCCGAGGCTTTGCCTTGAGCCAAGGGGAACCGCCCGCAGTAGACAAAGGTCGTTCAATAGTTAGGATGGGGTACACACTATTTCGGTTATGTCTGCCAGTACAGGGCATGACGAAGCCTAAATGAGGAGGTTGCGCCATCGACTTTCAGCGTGTACTTCTTTTGCCCGTGAGCCAAGCTGCCGGTGAGGCCACCTGCAGAACTACCAGACCCACATCCAGCAGCTCACGGACCAGGCCGGAACTCCACGCCTTCAGCTCCCATCCGATTCGGAGGGATGCTTCAGACGTGAGCTGATGGAGCCATGCGTATGGCGAAGTGAACTGGGCAGTCGACGGGTCTGAGAAGCCATGGATTTCTTTTGCTATTGGCACATTTTGTAGGGGTTCATACCATTTGGCCCAGGGCGACTCAGACAATTCTGACGGAGGGTCGGCGACCGATCATTCCTTTGCTAGGAAAACGAATTATTTCTCACCGCAGGGGTATACACTTAAGCTTGTGTGCTCACCAGCCAGGTTAGGGCCCATTTATATCACGTTTCATGTGATTGTGGCCCCGTTTTAGAGTTGGCACCATTGGTTTTGCTTTCAGCCACAATTTTGTTGGGTTCACCTACTTGGAGACACGGCATTCAGGTGACCAACCTGCGGCAGCAGGGCCAGGGCCTGCAGCAGGGCCTCCTGCTCTTGCAGCAGGTGGCGCCGGTGCAAGATGACCAGGCGGACTCGAGTTCCGCTTCGGTGGACTTGTTTTTCTTTTTCAAATGGGTGGACCGCAGGTTTGAGTCTTTGTTTCCATTTACCAGGGTTCCATTTTGGGTACCTATTTTTGACCCACTCCCAAAGGTTCACTTCGAAAAAAGCACGGAGGACTATTTTTTCAACTAGAGGGGAAACCACGCCTGATGATTTGTATGGTTCTCCGGATAAAACATCGAAGTTGACAATGCTCCAGGGACCTTGAAAGGAGGCTGTGGGGAGGGGGCTATCTCTGGGTAAGCCTGGAGAAGCCTAGGATAAGCCTGAAGACCCTCCCCAAGACACCCCTTGGAGAACCATGGCTCTTCTACCTGCTTTTTTTGTTTTAGAGGAACTTCCTTCTCGCCGTTTTATGCTTTTGTTTTGGATGTTGTTGTTTTAATTTGGGGGGTCCACCCCCTTTGTGTTGGGTATCTTCCTTTGCTTGGGGGGGCCATGTTACTTGTCTTGTCCAGGGCAATTCCCCATCTTGTCGTCAAAAGAACGAAATGCGCGCGCGTGAGGGTGTGTGTGTTGTCAAAATGGGGGGGGACCCCCAAAACTGTGGGTTTCCTATTGGTTTCCCTTTACTCCAAGCGGAAACGGGCACAGTCCAAAAAGCACGCGCCCATGTTTAATCCGGGTTTGTGCGTTTGGCGCCTGGTGCCATTCATTGGGGTCAGCTTGATTTTGACCCCCCCACTTGGCAGTTTGTGCCTAAAATGAATGTGTGGGTACGACTCCCAACAACTAGC